CTTTTACTACATGGAGCTCAGGATTTTCCTTTTCATACAAAAATACTCACCTTGACCTTTTTGGGGTTCTAAATACTCCCAACAGTGTTGTAAGACTACAATATCAATCACAGAAAGCTAGGGGTATGTACTGTATGGAGTCACACTCTCACTCTACTGCAATGTGGACCTCAAGTAATTCACTTTCACTGCAGGAGCCTGTGATGAGAGGAAGACCGGAAATAATGACTATTGGTCACACTTTGTACTTTTTAACGTCGAATTTCAGAATCCCACTTGATAATCATATGACTAGCTAGGGACAAACCTTTACTATTATCAAAGGGGAACTGCAGTCTCAATTTCTCGGATACTGTAGCTTATTATATCTCGGCAACAAAATAAATTAATTGACATAGACAAATTGCAAATTAAGTACCTAGCCGTGAACTTTGTGAAAGTACTGTAAGTCACCATGTTGTCTCAAATCCTTTGGGATTCAAACTTTGAGAAATGAAAGGAAATTATTATTATTATTATTATTATTATGAGAACATAATTATTAGGCTATTATTATTATATTTGGCTATTATTATTATTATTATTATTATTATTATTACAATGAGGCATAATCTTTTTTTAGACAATATAAACTCAAAACTCAAAAAAGATATCAAGACATAGATAAGAGCCACCAGAAAATTATTACTGTTTTTCTTTCAAAATGGGTCATTGTGAGACAGAATCATACTTAAAGTTACTGTCTTTTGTTGTGCAAACATCTACGTGTGCAACCCCACATAGGCAAAAAAGGAATATAATAATAATAATTCATAATTTAAAATAATAATTGCTTACACTTATACACTCCACTCAGTGCAGTTACAGGTAATGGGGACTCCCCTCCACCACCACCAATGCGCAGCCTCACCTGGTGCACATACAGTATACACATATACACACAAATAATATAAAAGAATAATAATATGGAGCTGAGCCAAAGAGTCTTTACTTTGTCATTAAAAAAGTGCAGCCCTTGCTAACAAACTATTTTCTATGTCATTTGCATGCCACCATGCTCTGGAGGGTATTTTATTGTTTAGCATAACGCGCAATTCAGTGAGTTCACTCCTGTTGAAAGGTACGACGCACAGCCTCGCATTCTGTCGCTTCACGGCACATTTCTCAGAGCTCTTCCAGAAATTCGGAGTCATCTGATGCATTCCATGGAGCCGGCCATTTTACAGACCAGTGGGAAAGACACAACAGCCTGTGATTGCTTCATAGAGTAATAGCATTTAAATGTTCAACCCCCCCAGACTCACAAAACAATTTATTTCTACCAAACAAGAACCGATTCAACTGTGTCTATATGGTAATGGTTTACTGGTACAAGGCCTGATTTGAATAATAATTGTCCTCTGACTAGATTTGATAACAATACAGTGAAATTACCATTTTATTTATTTAACATTTGACACAGCAGAAAAGCCTCACTGAGTTTGCAAAGGGATGACCAAAACCTTACTCCAATATACATCACCTATCAGGTGTCACTGAGCTTAAATAAATGTCAACTGGCATGTATAATTCTAATAATTGCACTGTTTATACAGACACAATCCTGTTACAGTTAATACAAATGTGATATAATCCCGACTCTAAATCAGCTTTAAGACAAACGGAAAATGCAGATCTGATCAGATTGGAGTTCTTGATTTGGATCAGTGGTGTTATTTTTCTGATCCATTTTCTGATTTCATTCCTGGCCGAAAGCACTCCCCCCAGTACATATAATTTGAACATCTCATGTTTTTTTTGCTAGCACTGGCGTCTACGAAAATCCCAAAAAAACAAAAAAAAACGGAAAACCGCCCCGGCCCTTTCCAAGCCCCCCCCCCGAGAGCTGCCCACAAGGAGGCCGTGCTGACAGCCCATAACCGGCCTGGACTTTGTAGGAGACGTGTGCCTTGAATTAGTCCGACTCCTGGGGACCTCCAGCCCGACCGTCCCAGTTCGGAGGTCCCTGCCCAGCCTGAAAATATGGACCCCTGCTCTCTGTGAAGCTCTCAGGGCTCAGCATGGCTCTGAACCTTGGTGGCTCATCCCTTCCTCTCCAGCCTTTCCTGCCCCCTCCAGCCTGCCTGCGAGGGCATTCCAGCGAGCTGTCTGCATCCTCCGAGCCTACTCCGTGCGGCCTCCTTTTCCTGGGAGAAGAGAGTGACATCCGGAGGCCCCTGCTTCAAGTTCCTGGTCGGCGGACTTCAGGGGACAGTGTGCGGGCAGTGAGCTGACCACTCCCCCTGGCCTGTTGATCCTACGCTCGGGGGTCTGCGATGCCTGCAGCGCTGCCCCATTTCCTGCAGGCAAGGTGCTGCTCGTGAGCAATAAGGACCTCTAAACTGGCTGGTCTGAGCATCTCACTCTGCATATCTGTACCACACGTGCTAACATCCAGTGGGAAAACACACCAGCGGATTTCAATTAATATTTGGTGCAAATGATGGTTAAGGCAGAGCTTATTAAAGAGTGATCATGCAAAAGGGGGAGAATACTTTTCCAATGAAAAGTTTATGGTGTTTATTTCAACATAGGAAACAAATGAGATAGTATATTCTTGAAAGGTTTTTTTAGGTTGTGAATTTTAAATTTAATCCCCACTAAATGAAAATCTTACTGGTTCTGCGGATGCTTCATCAGTTTTAAAAAGAAAAAAGGGACTGCACATGGTTTCTTTAAAAAGACTGAAATAGTGGGTACGTCTACTGTACGTTGTCCATTAGCTTGTGAATAGACCCTGCTATAGGAGCCTGATGTCCAGCTTAGCTCTCGAAGCTTCTACGCCTGGTGCCGGGTTCAAGGAACCCTCAGCAGAAATAAACGGTTTCTTGAAAATGGATGTATGGATGAATTATCTGATGAAGCTGAATAGATTATACGCTATGGTGCCAGCAAACATCCCAGCTCACCACGTGATTCATGTACTGATAGCTAATATTCTTTTTCACTCAGTAGACAGTGGAATGTAAATGCAAAGCGGTAAATGTATCTACTATGCAGTTGCTTTAGTTATCATAACATTGATACATTGAACATTTCTTAATTTAAAGTTATAGAATGCCGTGTTGCACTCCAAGAGCTTGGAAACTAGGTAAAGAAAGCCTTGCCTCTCTTTTCCTGCCATCTAGTGTTGAAGAAAGGAATTTCACTCCTCTTGCCCTCTTGTCCTGTTTTTCCGGTTGTTTTCCACAATACATGCAGCTGCCGAACTTGGCTTCTCTTTTACTTTCATGCATTGAAGTTAAAAAAAAGCCATATGCACATTTTTTACTGCTGTTGTGTTCTAAACCGTCTGTCAAAGGTCATCAGGCGAGAGCTACCTTTTCCTTTTTTAATTCCAGAGGTGAAGCTGTCCACTCTCTTCACTCCAGTCTCTCTGGAGTTCCCTACACTCTATGTTCCCTTACACTGGTCTAGAGCTGCACGCCGTTCACTAGTAAGGAGTAGCATCAGGTCATTTGCTAGTAGCTAACCTCAGCGGGGATCCCCTCCAGCCCTTTTCTGACAACCGTTCGATAGCATGTTCCAGACCCCCATAAAAAAAGTGCCTCCTGTCCTCTGATATACCAGATCAAACACTCTGTACACATCCATTACAGCTATTGCTTGTTTAATAAACTCTAACGAGTTAGTTCAGCAGGAACTACCTTTCCTAAAGCCACATTAACCTTCATCTAGAGATATATACAGTATTTATACTGTACACCCTTCTCACTGTTCAGAGTTAGTGTTTCATACCCTAAATGAGGATGGTATCTAGCTTGATTTCGCTTTGTATATGAAAAGGTTATCAGCTATAAAAAGGGGTAATAACCTGTGACAGGCCTACCTCTCCTCGGGTGGCACGTGAGGCCTGAGCACAAGGATAAACCACAGTGGAAAGGAAAAGGTACTACAATGGAAATTTATTCAACCAAACTTCTCAACACACACACAAAAAAAAAAAACATCTATATTGACCACTTCACACCAGCTACCACCGTGAATCTCTTGTAACCGACGTGAAACCCACGCAAGAATGTTATACTCAACCTTCACTAATTAACAGATTCACGTGTGAATCGATGTACATGTAATTGAGGGCAGAGCGCCCTCTGGTGGCAGATCTGATGAAGCGCTATAACACTACTGCCGGCTGCCACATACCCGTGGACTGCAGAACTGCTCATGTGGTGCCTGTCCTTAAGAAGAAAGATGAACTAAAAAATTATACACCAGTAAGTCTCTATTACACGTAAGGTTACAGAAACTATTAGAACTAAAAACAAGTTCTTATATGGAAATCAAATCCTAAAGAATAGTCAACAAAGATTTAGAAAAAGTAGTCTTGCCTAACCAACTTGTTAAAATTCTTTGAACAAGCAACGGAGAGCATATGATATTGCGTATTAAGAGATCCAGAAAGCGGCATTCGTGTGTGGTTAGCACTGCTGTCTTGCAGCACTGGGGCCCTGGGTTCAATTCAGGATCTGGGGTGCTATGTACAGTATGTGGAGTTTGTATGTTCTCCCCAAATTCACGTGGGTTTCCTCCCACAGTCCAAAAACATGCAGGTTCATTAATTGGCTTCTGTGAAAACTGGGCCCTGGTGTGGGTGTATGCATGTCTGTGTGTCTGCCCTGTGATGGACTGACATCCTGCCCAGGGTGTAATCGGTGTTGTGTCTCTTGTTTGTTGGGATAGGTCTAATTGTCTGGACGTTTTATTCACTTTTTATTGCAGAGCATCAACTGACTAGGCTGAAGGGTAAAGAACTTACAAGTTGTGGCTTCACAATGAGATCAGCACATGTGAACAGGGCGCATAGCTGGTTTTACAAAGCAGGCAGACGAACACTTACTTTACATGTAAAGGAATATTAAACATATTAATAAATAGCTGAAACAAAAGGAAACACGTTTTTAATACATTATTCAGATTTTATTGGAGATAGAAAATTAATTTGATAAATTAGTAGAAAATGAATTTAAAAAATTTAATCCAGAATTCATATATTTTAAAAACTGTACAAGATTAAACCGCTGTTTTGATCCTTTGTCAAAACAAGCAGGGCAAGTGGTTTGCACAAAAAAGGGAGGAAAAAAGTATGATGAATGAGAAAATCATAGTAGGCTCTGATTAAGTGTACACAAAAATAGCAATTCAGGTCTTTTAGCATATATAGGTCAAGCAATGTAATTGGAAGACAAGGATATAACCTTGAACACAGCATGTGAGTTCAGCACAGAAAGATCCTTTAAAGACTCACACCCAGAATCTGCAGAATGTGAACTAATCACACTGCATGTCTCAAGAGTTTAGGTGAATATGCTACTAACCGAACTGGACCAATGGGGCAAAACGCACAGACACTGAAATCAACACCATCCCTTAAAAAACAAAAACCTCTAGATCTCAGGAAACACAAAAAAAAATCAAGAGCTTTGAGAAACTGAGGTAGACTGTGTAAACAGCCTTCTTCGTCTGTTTTTTTCCCATTACATTTTGACTGCTTTCCAATCGTGTCCATCTTAAAAAATCCAAAAGGCAAAAACACGTCCATGAAAATGCTCTGTTTTTTTGTCACTGGGTGTTTTTTTTTGTTAATTTTTTATTATGACTTACATCGGAGTCAGCCCAGAGCACTCTCCAAACACATCGCCTTGTCCTGTCCCATCCCAGTACAAACACATCAAAAGGAAGGAGGTAGAGTAATGTCCTGCATTTTTCATCTTTGTCTTGGCTTCAGCATTTACCATGGGAACATTTTAGTGTTGCTGTTCTCTCTTAACAATCTGTAAGATTAAAGGCTTAAACCAAAAATACATTCACGAAAAGCATACATTTGACCATTTCATCACGTTTCCCACAAGCACACATTCACTGAATGCAAGATTAAGCATTTCTTAATGTATTTGTGACTACTAAAATCTAGACAGAATCTCTTCTTAGGCTGTACTGAGGTATATTTGGTTGCCCCATCTTTGCTCTTAATGACCTAATTGAGCTCATCATCGTCTTAACTTTTCAAAGGTCTCCAGCTCTTGAGGTCTTAGAGACCTGGAACACCTACTGAATTCTGACCCTCAAAGTATAAAGTGTTTGAAACTTGATTTCATTGAAGTAAGAACACTTTTTTTAAACTGCTACATAAAATGAATCATGATAAAGAGGGAATACTGGACGGAAAAGGATACTAGCTAAAAACATACCCTTTTAATTTATTCTAGGCCAGTACAAGTATCCTTTGAGTCAAGGCCATATAACTAATACTTTAATGGATCATTTAACAGGTGTTGAATTGCTCTGGACAATTTGTAATATTTTTATATTAGGTTTCTCTTCTGATTTGTGGCTAACCTAAGTAAGAAAAAAAGGGATGAATCTATTTTTCCAACATAATAAAACAAACTACAACTATGCATGTGTCCATATGTGTTTTTTACTGTGTGTGCAAGTTATGTTATAATTGTGAGGATGTGAGGATGAGGATTAAGAAAAATGTCCAAGATAAATCAAGAATTTGGGGTCCTTTATAACTGCTACAGGGATGCCAGATTTGAATAAAGCTTGGTTGTTTAATCATGCTAATGTGATTTCTAAACCTTGCTGTGATTGTGTGACACTCTGTAAACAATTCCAGCAAACATGATCAAAATATCGTTGGCTACAAATAATTATTCTTAGCTTGTACTATCAGACAAAATGTACAACAGCTTCTACAGTATATCACTCCAAGATATTAAAGTTGTACTGTTTTCTTATAAAAATATATATATTTATTTTTTAAAAGTATACAGTATAAATACAGAATCTTACAATCTATAAAACAAACTGTTACTTTGATGTCCTATTTAAAAAATGACAAAACACTGCAAAACAGACAAGATGGACAGAATATTCCTAGTGGAGAGCACCATTAGAGTACTGAACGATACTTGCAGGCAAACATAATCCAAACAGCACAAGCAGATTCAGGGTAAGTGAAGACTCTCACTCGGACTGCAATCCTCACATGATCCCCTCGGCAGCACACAATCTCGTCACAAAACGGGGACCTGGGAAAGGGTAACATCAGCGCTGTCAGGCCTTTGTCTTCAAGCACCCCAGATTCAACAGCGCTACCTGCTGACATCTGAATCGGGCTGGTCTATCATTCGCAACGGGAATAACCCCCTTGAAAAACCTCCAATTTGGCCAACAAGCATCATGTTTCATGCTGTGTATTTGTTCTGTTCTCTAACCTGATATTGTGGAATTGGATTATTGTTTTAGTTCACTGGTTGGTCCTGTTCAAATAAAAACAAAGCTACAAAATCATCTTGAATGGGCTGTTTCATGTACGGGTTAAAATCACACTTCTACAATGCAACACGACACAACTATTTCCTCAATTGTACGGCACCTTCATGAATTCCTCCAACAAAATAGAAAAGAAAGGCAAAAGGTAGGGAATGTTGTTAGGATATGAGCAGTTCTGCTAGTTTGTGTGTGACACATTGTCAGACACATTATTTCTTTAACTATCCAACGAAAGTACAGCACTGCTGAAGCTGTTAGCCAGTGCTGTGCAAGGACTGCCCCGATCTGCACCAGCGAGAGAGAGCAAGAAAGAGGCGCAAAAATTTAGGAGATATTTCCAGTCCCTAGCTAGCTCCTGGAGCGAAGGCATTTCCAGAAAACCACCCCGAGGGTTAAAATCAACTGCTTTAGAAATCGGTTTGCTAAATCAATCATAAATCAGTCAGCCCCACCCAGGGATCATGACCGCCTCGGGGCACGGCCCGACACTTTCTGCTCGGACGCTGGGCTGGCGCTGGAGACCGGCTTTGCGTACCTTAGACAAGTAGCGAACGCCCTTCTGGTGTTCCTGTGGATGAAGTGTATTGGGAATCCCTTGAAGGTGTGGCCGTCAGGCACAGCCCTCCTCACGGCGTCCTGAAACTCCTCGTTCCCGCAGGACACCCCCGCGGCGCGCTCCAGCTCGTAAGCCGCCAGGGCGGGCGAGAGCAGATAAGACAGGTGGTCGTCCCACACCGTGGTCAGGCCAAGGTCCTGCAGAGCGGAGGAGGCAGGGAACAGCGGCTTTTCCTTACTGCAGCAGCTCTGTGGCTCTCTTCCCGGCCACATCTCCTTGTGTGCTCTCGCCTTCCACTCTTTGCATTTCAATCCGTTTCATCATCATTTGTTTTTGAATTGTTAGCCAATGTCAAAGCATAAAGCTGTTCTTCCTGCCAAAATGTCATTCACGCATTGAATCGGCTGGACCTGGTGACTTTTTTAGCAGTAACGAAGGAAATGTCCTGTATCTTAATAAACAACCCATCACTAAGGCATCTCAACAAACCCTCGAGACAGAGCTGGTTCTCAGCGATTGGAAAAAGCCAAATATGATACAAAGTGGACCATGGAAATACAGACGGGGCAGTCTTCCATCTATTTCATGTATAAATATTGAAAAAATATTAATAACTGAAATGAGAAGATCATCTGTTTCATAAAAGATTCCATATACATAATAGGCAAGGTCTTATTTAACTAACCTGCCAGATTTCTTTGAACAAGCTGTGGAAGAAATTAATACAAGGAAGGTTGGCCTAGAATAAGGTATATTGAGATTTCCAGAAAAGCTCTCACATAAAATGTTAATCCTCAAATCAAAAACTGTAGAAATCCATAAAACTCCCTTAAAATAAGAGACAGGCACCAGGCTGAGGGCCGAAGATGTCTCCGACTTCCACAGATGATTTTGATATAATCAATAACCTCATCAAAGCTGCAAATGAGACTAAATTAAAGAGAGAAACCAAACACCTTAGAAGCGGTACAGCTCTTATACAAAGGCTGAGGAATACAGGATAGACACCTGGGGTATTAAGTCTAATCTACATAAATGCAATGCATGTCATGCAGACAATACGAATATAAATTACAAAAACTGTGGCGTGTCTGGAAGAGGTGGCGTGTGAATTTGGTTGCCCATCCTTCGGATGAGACGTAAAACCGAGGTCCGGACTCTCTGTGGTCATTAAAAACCCCAGGGCGTTTTTTTGAAAAGAGTAGGGGTGTAAGCGCTATATAAGTGTAAGCAATTATTAACTATTAATTATTATTACCGAAAACCCAGGAGAACCACTATCACACCGCAGCCATGACAGAAACGGCTCCCGTTACCTTCCTGTGCTCAGACACCAGGTATCTGATCTGCAGCTCCATCTCGTTGCTTGCGGAGGCGGCGTCGATGACGGGGGCGCACAGAGGGGGGGCAGGAGGAAGGGAGGTGGTGGCCCCCGGGGCGCACACGGACCGGAGGGCGTCTTCGCTCATGGCCTTCCACCGCGACTCGTTGCGGAAGTCGAAGACGCACAGCTCCACGGCGTCCGAGCCCTGGCAGTTGGCCAGGAAGGCCTTGTGATTGAAAACGCAGCCGACGGTTTTGTAGGGGTGGGAGGGTTTCGGCGGCCGCGCCAGTGGGGGGTCATCGGGGTTGACGGGCTGGTGAACGTACCTGGGCGATAGAAGTCAGCCGTACCTTAACGCGGGCATCACCCAGGGTGCAGATGGTTTTCACTTATTATAGAAACACCCCCCCCCCCCAAAATCCTGCTTGGGAAAGTTCCCCAAAAGCGTATATACAACTTTGGCATAAGGGAAGAGTACTGATCTGCAAGCCCTACAGGGATTATTTACCAGACTCACAAATGCAGGGCACCCATTGACTTTTCTTAAGGTAATTGGTTTGTGCTCTGAAGAGGTCTGCCATTCTGTACCCCTGCAGGGTGGTCTTCCTGAAGACCAGTAAAGCCAGTAAGAGACCAGTCATTACAGCTCGCAGGCAATCAGAGCCCTGCCCTGATCTCTACTCTAGCGACGTGTGAAGTGATTTGAATTGATTCAGGTCCTACAACACACCGCTTGATGTACTGTAATGGACAGTTTAGCTCGCATGGGGCTCCTAAATTTAAAAAAAAATCAGCGTAGACTGAAACAAAGCTCTTTTTAAAGACCGAATTAAGATTAGAAAACACAGATTTCCTCCCAGCAGGCTAGCTCACATTGAAATGACCGTTCTGAGGACAGAAGGGGCACATTTCAAACTAGCCTTCAGATGAGGGCCCAAGTCTTTCACCCACCTGTGCCCGGTGAGACTCTCCCAGAAAGTAACGGCTCCTTCGGTGCCGCAGGTCATCACCCAGGCGTGGGGCACTCCCTTAGCCTTGGTCCCTATGCAAACGTAGGCTTCGAGGCCAAAGCCCAGCAGGAGGCTGCAGAGGAGGGTGGCATGATCCTCGCAGTCGCCCTGGAAACAAGGCGGCGGCAGTTGAGGAATCGGTGCCGTCGAATCAGGCGTGCAATCATTCGAGGCACTGAAGCACCTACGATATACCCGCCCGCAGATTGGACGACAGTTGAGCTCAGGTAGAATTTGCCTTGCGGAGCCTTTAAAAAAATACTCACCTTTTCAAATACTCTCATGTGGCTGGGGAAAAAGGCTAGAAAAAAAACAGCTCCATTTTTAAATTATTTTTACTTACATTTTAACAGTTTTACTGACTAACAAACAGGCTGGAGGGGCCAACCGGCCTCCTCTCGTTTGTAAACTTTCTTAAGTTTTCTTAATCTAACAGACAGGTGGTGCACAACGAATAGAAGCCGTTGTGGGTTAAAGTCTCAGAAAAGTGTTTAAAATATATATGTTAACTCAATCAATAAAGTCGTGGACAACATGTATTTTTCTTAAAAATGTTTTTGATTAAAAATAAGGGTATAAAAGAAAAAAAAGCCTAAATCTATTTTCACCGACATGCAGTCATTTAAATGCAGTCCTGTACCACAGAAAACATCCAGTGCATGTTAACACCGTCTACAATGCAGAGAAATATCCTCAGGAAGGAAAGAGAATTACACATTTATTTACATAAATGTAATTTCCAGGAAAGGATTTTCTTCTCTTTTCTTGGAAGTTGAGACATCACCCTTCAGAAGAAGAGCAGGAGAGGCAGTCCAGATGACAGACTGTTCCCAGAACTATTAACCTAGCCTGAGCAGTGATACTGACGGGAACTGATGCTAAATGGACTTACTTGAAATGATGTCCAGGGATCATGTGTGACCTAAAGTACATTAGTTTCTGCGTGTGACTTATGTCTGACTTCTGAAAGACAAACAGTTATCTCCAAAGGGAAATCCATATTCCATATTCCAAAAGGAATATGAGAAGGCTAGGGGATCTTTCACCGGTAATATTTCTGGTTTAGGTGCAGTATAAAGGCGTATTGAGCAAATGTTTAGGAAAAATCAAATATTAATATGACAGATTTTTACTCATCAACATATCTGTTTAATAAACCAAATTTGATTACTTTAATTTTTTAAAATCAGAAATTAAGAAGACACCACCACCGTGTCCAAGAGGACATGCTGTAATACTGAGACTCTAGACAGGTTTGGTTGTTGGACTCTCTTGATGGTCCATATTTCAACTCACTTTTTCAGCCATACATGATAACAATTTACACTCCAAGGTTGATCCAGAAAATGCTTTTCTCACTCCACCGTGAGATGACTAAAACTTAACACAAGTCTGCACTGCAAGTTTTGACTTGTATACAGACTAGTCTTACAACAGGCTTACATTTAAAGGCTTTAATTTAAAGAAGACAGCACGCCCTCCAGACAAAAAGAAAAGGAGACTGTTTTTTCCAAATTTACACTGGTAAAAAACACGTAAAGAGTGTTTAAAAGGACTAACTTATATTTTTTTTTATCTGCAGCGAGTACTGGAGAACTTGTCAGAGACTTGAAATTAAATGTGAGTTTATCATATGCTAGATGGCAAATATAAAATACTAGTAACATGAAAAAAATTCATAACTGTAATTAATATTCCCTCATGTCATAGGATGCTGCAAAATACAGAAGGCCTATGCAAGGGGGCTAACAGTACGAATGAGGAGGAAATGGCTATATTAAGGGAAGCACCAGAATTCCCATCTGTATATTAAAACAATCAGAAGGGCTCGAGTTACCCCCATGTTTCACCCCAACTAGTTGAATTACCCCAGCTCAAGCACAGTTCCAAAGAAGGTGATTGTCAACATCTTACTTAGGGACAATCAATAGGTTTATTCCACGCTGAAAAGAGAAGAGAGAAAACACAACGTTTCGGCTGTGAAGCCTTCTCCGGGTGTCATCTTACTTCGTCGAATCGGCAGCTGAGAACCAACGCTTATTTGGAGCGATGATCTGACGCAGAGCTCAAGACAAAAGCTCCAACACCAAACCGCACCATGTACTGTCTGACGGTACACAGGCAGGAGATGAAGGGATATGGGGTCCCGGGCGGACAGAGTTACCTTGCTCCTGCACAGGAAGGCCAGCAGAGTGCACCACTGCTCCTGCCTCCCCCCGCCACCGATGACCGGGGCCCTCTCGTGGCCCAGCAGGCTGACGAAGCGCGCCGCCTGCCGCGGGGTGTCCAGAAGCCGCCCCGCGCGCAGCGCTCGCACATAGGAGCACACGGGCCGGTTCGTCCCGTTCTCGTCCTGAGCACAGCACAGAGGAGAGAGTCCTCAGCCACCGGGGGACAAAGGCTTCCTTGCGGCTGACACAGAGCAGCCAGCTGCCCTGAGAGGCTCTCTCTTATGTTCCTCTCTTTCGGAAGAGGTCAGAGACACTTTAATTTGTTGCCAGGAGAATGTATATTATACGCCATTACAACTCTGGAACCTCTGCCTCCCTCAAGAGGGACATGTTTTGAACTTTCTTTAAACTAATTCACCTCTGCAGTGCATTTGTGATCTTCCTCTGTCTCATACCCTCAGAGTCCAAAGACTTTAAAGCTTTATCTTAAAAGCACAGCAGCTGGGTTTACGTACAGTACCTTGAGGCTTTCAGCAGATACTCTACTGAGATACCGTACAGACTCTTTATTTGCAGTATTTCCCAATTCTTTTCACACTTATACACTAAGTTTATACGACACACTACAACAACAGGGAGTGACTGTTCAACATATTAATTGGTGTTTAAAGATTTGACACCTGATTGTTCATTTTACCATTCGCGTTGCCATCTTGCATTAGACACTAAATTGCATCAAAAATCCAATTAAAATGTCCTTCTACAGAAACAGGCACCATGAAAAATCTATTTAATATGAAACATAATAACATAATAAAATTAGTCTGGTGTCAACCTGTGCAAAGATCTTGACCAGCTTTGTGTTGTGTGAAGGCCGGATCTGGAGGAACTCTCTCCACCACTGCTTGGCGTAGACAAGGAATAAACGCTCTTTCTCTGCGCTTTTCTGTCGCTCCAGGGCTTGCTGGGAAAAGAACATAAAACCCACTGACCAGCGGCAACGCAAAACTCCAGTTCCCACCCACAATCTGGCTTCGTCTGGCATTTACCATTAGGAAGAAAAGCGAAGCAGAATGGAAGCAGGAAGCAGCCTGCGTGTTGGTGCAATGTTTGGGACTTCCTGAGGGGTGTGACTGGCAATGTTTATGATGCTTCTAGAAAATACACATCTCCATTTCAATAGACACTCTGAGCTCATTGGGGCTCTGGCACCCAAGAGAAATGCCAGTTGTGAAAACGGGCGAGAATCAGTACCGCCGCTCGACGTTTGTGATGTTTGTTAGACCACACGAGAGCTGAATCCACTGGAAAGAAGAGTGATACGACTGTCAGCAGCTGTGTACAATCCAAGCTATTTCCCACAAATGAGGTTGACATCCAATGCCGATAGCCTTGCTGGAGAAGCGCAGAGCATGTGGATGGTGCACGCAGTCCTAATTCCAGCTGAGATCACAGCTGGAGAGGAGAAAGGAGTCAAAGGCCCTCTTCTCGTGAGCAGGCAGGTAATAGTGAATGTGGGGGGGGCTCAGCTTCTTTCTTCACAGGGCAGAATGTGGGCGGAGCGGTGGCTCTGTGGCTAAGGATCTGCACCTGTGGCTGGAAGGTTGCCAGTTCTAATCCCGCGGCCGGCAGAGAAATCCTACTCCGTTGGGCCCCAGGGCCTTAACCCCAGCTGCTCCAGGGGTGCCTTATAAATGGCTGACCCTGCGCTCTGACCCCAAGCTTCTCTCCCTGTCTGTGTGTCTCATGGAGAGCAAGTTGGGGCATGCGAAAAGACAAATTCCTAATACAAGAAACTGTATGATCTTATCTTATAAACAGGGATCAAACACTGTGTTGTCATCGTCCCTCATTTGGAACAATTACTACTAATATACAGGGTTCTTATAAAACGGACCTATTCAGATAAATGAATTGTGACTTCCCAAATAAAACCACAGGTAATACTGTATATTTCCATGGACAACAACAGCACAATCTATAAAGCACTAATCTCACAAGTAACTGTCAGAGGACACAAAGTATGACCCAAAGGTATGAAAGTGTCAAAACTGCCAGAGAAGCACCCAACGGGCCAAGCTGATGATATGTGTTCCCCCAAACCCCATCTGTATGCATGTCAAATTTCAGTACTCTATTGCAGTTGGTTTCACAGGCAAGAGGTTCTTACCTGCGTGCTGATTATATCGGGCGTCAAGGTCTCAGTTAGCTGTGGGTAGAGCTCCAGTTTTATGTTAAGGACACCAACTGGCACTTTGGACTCACTGCCTGGTGAATTGAATGAAGAAGCTTCAGAATAACTCTCTTTTTTCCTTCAAACCTGCTAAAGATCAGAGACGCTATCTTTGGATCCAGAGCAAAGGTGAACTTATGTCTGAAGATTCAGAGACAAGGCACCTGAGCTGGATATCCTATATTATCCTATATTATATCCTAAATAGGATTGCACTAGGGTTAGGGTTACCAAATCAGTAATTTACACATATACACTGCAAAACACTGTTAAAATCATGGGAATGGTATCAGATAAATTAGCTTAAATCAAATGTGTTTTCAAAAACAGATGATTAATAAATCCTTCATTTGGGAAGTCTTCAAATACAAAAAAAAAAATAGATTTTACTTTTACCGAATACTGGATTAGACACTAAAATTCAATCCCCAAGTGTGTTACAGAAAACTAATGTCTTAGAGGAATGCTGGTTCAAATAATAGTGCTATTGACTTTTTGTAATACATTATTAGAAACAGGGGAAAGCAACTACTAGACGCCTTACATTTTAAGTTGTATGGACGCTACTTATCAAAATAGTTTCAAAACCCTGACATTGAGCAGATACTAAATTTTCACAAACAGCTCTACAAGACAGTCAAAAACCCATCTTACTCAAAATAACCACATTTTGGTACGTTTCAACAAAAAAAATAAAATTAAAATGTTCATTTTCCTACCCACTCCCAGGAGTTCCACAGCTAAAGTAGTTCTTCCATTCGGTGAACTCAGGACGGATCGCCAATCCAGGAAATAGGAGGAAACTAGCAAAGTCTCACTTGATGTGTCCGTCTTGATAAGAACCATGTGAACGGGATCACTAACAGACAACATTGTTGTGGCATCTGCCATCTTACTGCCGTCACCTAGAAACAATTAAACAATTAACAACCTGAGACCCTTCAAGTAGTTAAAATACACCACCCTCTAGTTCTGGGTCAAACACGATGTGCCAAGCAGTGGCCTCTCTGTGCGTGCCATAAAGGTGGTTCTCCTGATTTCAGAATTAGTGTGCCTGTCTCAGTAAGGCAGCAAATGTCAATCAAAGATTCAACCATGAAGACCCAAGAGCTTTCAAAACAACTCATGGATAAAGCAGTCTAAAGGCACAGATCTCGAGAAGGGTTTGAAAACATTTCAGAGACTCTTAATATCTCACTGACCGCTGCGACGTCAGTCTGTAAGAAGTGGAAAGCACCCAGACACTGTCCTAAATCAGGTTGCCTCTCCAGCCCTGTAAAACACATTCCAGATCCCACAGGAGATACAGCAAACACGTGGCAAAAGGTTTGGCGGTCAGACATGACAAAATTGGACTTTTTTAGTCTAAATGCAAAGCGTTACATCTGACGCAAACCCTGTTATAAAGCAGCTGGATACAGCCGCAGGTGCTACTGGAATTAACCCCAAGTGCAGGAGAGTGACAGAAATGTCTGAAGAGACCTGACTGATTGAGAATTGAGCAAAGTACTGGAGAATTTGAGAAAAAAACCTGCTTTAGACTTACAATTTGGGCAAAATTTGTCCTTCAGCAAGACAATGATGCAACACATAAGGCAAAAACTGCACAGGAATAAGAAGGTGAATGTCCATAAGTGGCCCAATCAAAGTCCTGACTTGAATCCTATTGAGAATCTGTTATTTAAACATTTCTTTTTTAAACGTGATAAGTATCTTGAGAGAACATGAGCAAATCTGCCAAGAAAAACAGGCAAAAACTGCACTAAGCTGGTGTGTAAGGTACCGTAAGAACAGACCACAACTACAGCCAATGGTGCTTCCTCCAAATATTGAGTTCATGAGCCTCCACTCAATTACTTTTGCTGACATTTTCTACAACCTATCTTACCCTGAGCATTTAGCTCTTGAATAAAATATTAAACTTAAAAAACGTGGATCCATCACTTTGCATATCCGTTCTCATTTATACTGTACCTGTAGCCACACCCCTGCTCAAAAGATGATTGTCTTGAGCATCTATATGAGTATTGATTATCTGTGTGTTTCTAGTTATACTGTCTGCTGCTGTAAAACAAACTGGCACTCAGGGATAATAAGGACTCTCGCTTGTGTAATGATGAACGAAGGTCCCAGTCTGTTGCTGCGGAAGACGGCTCTGACCTGGACCCTCTCTGTGGACTTCCAGCAGGAAGCCCTCCTGGAGATCTGGCTCACAGGCGCAGGGCACAGGCTTGGAGCGGAAACGCTGGTTCCTGAAGTGCAGGTACAGGGTGAATGTGGAGCACACCTGCCCAGGTAATGGCTCAGGCTCCTGGAGATGCTCCAGAAAAGCCTTTCCCCCAAGAACCTGCAGGTAAAGGTACCTTCTCGTTGGGTCAATGTTGGCTGGAAAAGAAATTAACCTCAATTAAGAGATGCCGATGGACCATTAATGCGATTATGGAGTTAAAATTAGGCTCATTTTAAAGTAATCGATAAATAACAGTGACAAAAGGACTACTTCATGTTCACACTCAGTAAAAAAGTCCCATTTCTACTTTTTAGTAAAGCAAGGAAGTACTGCACGATAGTTTTGTAGCACAAGCGAACTGTTAAACCAATATTTTCGGAGTCAAAAAGCTAACACTAACGCATATCCTGAAGTAAATCAGACTGCCTATTGTAAGATTTTTTTTTTTGCCTTTATGTAATATGCCATTAAAATGGTAATTGGTAATTTCCAGTTCATTTCTTCCAATTTAACTGAATGGACCAAACATTACTGCACTGCATATCGTTAAAAGTCTTTCTTACTTTTCTTGAGTTGTGCTGGCTCCTTGTCGACAAAATGTGTTGAGGGTTTAGGAGTAGAGATGGCCTCTCTGCTTGGCAATTCCTAATCCAGGCCACACACACAGAGGGAAGGGAAACAGACATCAGGAGATTTCTTCACGGGGGGAAAACATGTCACCCTTATACAGTGTCATGTACTTAACAGCACACTTCCCAACAAATAAGTGTCCTTCCTTCATTATTAAGTAAGCCCTCCTTACTGTCCCCCAAGCCCATCTACATTGTATGGGCGACAGGGCCTTCTCCTGCTATGCCCCCAAGCTCTGGAACTCTTTGCCCAAGGATATCCGAGAGTCAGCTTCTCTAAACTCCTTCAAATCCAGACTCAAAACCTTCTTCTTCAGAAAAGCCTGTACTTAACTGGTTCCATTCTTCACCCCTCTGCTCTTCTTAGTACCACCCTCAACGGTCTACTCTATTGTTATTGTTGTAATTGTAATTGTGTCTTATCTTGTGAAACCTTCCTATTTATTGTTGTAGTCTTCTTATTTATTGTTATTGTCATCCTGTAAAGTGCTTTGAGAAGCCACCTTTAAAGGCGCTATATAAAATAAAGTTTATTATTATTATTATTATTATTATTATTGAAAACATAGATACAGAGTTAAAATGGAAACAACCGAAAACAGAGATAGTTTTCCGCGTCGGTAAGATACCGCGAGATAAACTGGATTGTAATCCTGATCTGAATCAAACACTCACCTGCACAAAGCTTAGGTCCTTCATGACATCATCGACGATCCCCCTTCGTTGCAAACCCCGTATCAAGTCCTCTTCCGAGAGATTGTGATGTCCAGAGCCCAGCTCCTCCCGCACGGTCTCAGCCAAGACATCCCGGATCTTCCCATGGATATCGATCTGCACATGCATCCATTAGATACATCCATTAGATACACCTCCTGGGAAAAACTTAGGTTGCTACTGGTAGAGGTGTTATTGGGGCCAGCAGACACTGCAGTCCATGTGGGTCCTAATGCCCCAGTATAGTGATGGGGACACTATACTGTAAACAGGTGCCGTCCTTCGGATGAGACGTAAAACCGAGGTCCTGACTCTCTGTGGTCATTAAAAATCCCAGGGCGTTTCTCGAAAAGAGTAGGGGTGTAATCCCGGCATCCTGGCCAAATTTCCCATTGGCCCTTACCAATCATGGCCTCCTAATAATCCCCATCTATGAATTGGCTTCATTACTCTGCTCTCCTCCCCACTGAGAGCTGATGTGTGGTGAGCGTTCTGGCGCACTATGGCTGCTGTCGCATCATCCAGGTGAGGCTGCACATTGGTGGTGGTGGAGGGGAGTCCCCATTACCTGTAAAGCGCTTTGAGTGGAGTGTCCAGAAAAGCGCTATATAAGTGTAAGCAATTATTATTATTATTATTATTACTTCTTTATCCCAGAAAGGGTGAGAGTATTATGAATCAAACTACCCAGACATTGTGTTGTAGCCTGTACCCTGGCTTCAGGCAAGAAACGGCAATCAGCTACTAACATAAGAGGTGGAATGGACCAAAGGCCTTCTTTCATCTTCGCTGGAATCAAACTACCGTAGAAGATATGTTAATGACGAAAACAAAAATTGTTTACACTGTATCTTCAAATAAACGCCGCATACAGCTTGAACACGATCTTGATTAAAATTTTCACATTAAAATATGATTTCTCGTGGTACATACGCCCATTTTCTGAGTGCTAATACAGTAGCATGCGTTAAAGCTTAGTCGCACTGAACCTACAAGAAGCACAGTTCTGTACCAAGGCCTTCCCCAGTGGGTCTTCAGAATGCGATGATGGTTATCTGATTATTTCGAAAAATGCTTGAGTTGATTTCAAATATTTTTTTTTAAGAACTGTAGGCCAAAGGAACTATTTAATGTTGGCAACTACAGAGTCCGGAATTTAAGAGATCAGACAACAATTCAGAACCGTGGACAGAGCACAGCAATCGGGCAACTAAAACCAGGAGGAAACCTTACCGACTGAATGCTCAACCTGAAGCCGAAAACATGACAGCAGGAACAGCTTAGAAAGACGGACTGTTACCTGTCACATTAGCTACCTGTACTTTCACTGAAGTGGCCCATAAGTATCTTCGAGTGCTACAACATTAATCCCGCAAACTTTAAGCTCCGGACTCGTTTCTTTGGAAAGTCTGGACGATGGGTTAAGATCATATTATTTCTCCAAAGCATGCAGGCGTCTCTGGTGAGACTAATACTGTACTCACCTTTGTCAAGTGGTTGTGAATGATCTGTTTCAGCTCAGAAGCCTTTTCTGGTGGAAGAGACATGCTCACAGAGGACGTCTACTGTATAGAAGTCCCAACGAACAAATCGTTACTTATTTAATTACGTGACTACTTTCACACTCCCCCTGCTTACTTAAATTGAAACTGGTCAAACTAAAAAAAAAAGGGGGCTGATTTCGCTTTCCAGGTTTTCGAAAGCAGCAGTCTGAACCGTCAGGCTCGTCTCCTCCCCACAACAACCAACGAGCAGACAGAACTTTCAAACCGTGGCGGAAAAGCCAGCGGGAAGCCATCCATTGTAGTGCCCGACTTAATCTTGTACAAAATAAAATGCAGCAAAGGGAAATAGCACACATATTACACCCAATTTATATATTTGTCCATACTTTTAAAAGATAATGACATTTTCGTTATATATTTTGTGTCTAACAAAAAGTCATTTTAGTTTTCATCAGGCACAATATAAGTCCACCCTTAACGTAACAGACTCCAAGCGAGCGTCATGTCAAGGAAGGACCCTGGAAGTAGCATGGAGTTGTAGTGAAACGGAAAGTTGTCATTCTGTACACATTAGTACAGTTAAAAATCATTTTACCGAATTGTCTATTTTTCTTACTCGCAAACATGTTTATTCCGGTTGGGTGCTCAGCGCCCTCTTTCAAAGAGTTTACCCTTATAATGGTAAGTGAGACGTTTTACATTATGCTTAATGTTGTTTTTTTTCTAGTTGTTAATTTACATGTTAAAAAAGGGCTTATATATTTTTCCGTTCCTTTACTTTGCTGTTATCCTGTGGTTGATTGTAGCCGGCGGTATCGGTGGGAAACGTGGGACAGTTTGCAACAGACCTGGTCATTTCTACCCTTCACATGCCTCGAGTGGGCTATTTCCACAGTGACTGTCTAGTACCCATGGTAGGAAATAATCCCTATGCCACATCGCCAGAAGATTCATCTGAACTCAGTACAAATGCCGAAGGTTAGTATGTGGACGGATTCTGCTCATCAAAGATACGTATATGCATAAACGCGTCTGGATGCAACGAAGTTTAGATTTTTTAGATAGCCCGTACCAAACTGACACAGCTTGTCTTGAATGTGTGGTAGTTTTGTTGTAGTTCTCAAACTCTTGTAAATAACCGATCTGCTGTGTACTATAGCAGGTTCAGGCTATGTAGTGATTTAAGATCATCCTTAAAATGCATAATAATTTGCATCTATAAATTATTATTGCATCTTTAAGTGTTGTAGATTTAAATCAATACGTTTATTGAAATAATATGTGAATTTCATGCTGGACGTACATGTAATCCACCAAAAGAACGTTCAGTATTCATCTGAACTCACACTTACAGTGGATATTCTTTTTCTGATACAGGCCAGAACATAAGCTTTTCTAGAGAAAACCAGCAAATAATTCACGCTCACGTTTATTCACTGTTAGTTTCCACTTGTGTCCTCTTGTTTATTCTAAAGAAGACCACTGGGTTGACTTTGTCAGTGCCTTTGAGAATGTTTAAAACTTGTTTCAGGTCCCCTTGTAGTCTTCTGTGTTCAAGATGAAAAAGGTTCAGTGCGTGTAGCCTGTTCGTATAGGATATTCCATTCAGTCCCTGAATGTCTGGTGGTTCTTTGCTGGACTGATGAAAGAACAACAAATGATTTTTTATGATGTAGTGACCAAAATTGTATGTAACATTCTGACAATTCAAGTGCTGTGCCTCTTTCCATATAAGTCTGCACATTCTGTGTTACAGATGTATTTAGTACTGTATATAGATTTAATGATAAAAAGTCACATCCAAAGAAATGTCAGTGGCATTATCTGTTTTTGTCTGTGCACAGTGTACTCTTTGCCTGACTTAAAGCTGGCTGTCCTTCAGATCCGGGCTCCCATCATACAGGTAAGAAGCTATGGACCAGAAGCTAAGTAGGCTGATAAGATGAATTAATTAGACTAATTAAGTCATTAAGGGTAATTAACCTGTCTAAGAAGGTAGACGGAGTAATTAACTCCACCACAAGTAGGACTACTATATTTGTGTAGAGCCCCACCGAAGTGTAGTAAATGTTCAAGAAGAAAAGTACATAAACCGATCATCCCACATTCAGTGCTAGTGAAGTCGCATTCATTATATCACTTTTATTGTATACTTCTGCAGCTTTGTTGGCTTGCGTATAAGTTACAATGGTCCATTCCTTTGAGTTTAAATTATGGGTAGTAAAAAAGCTAGTTCAGGTGGGTAGCTGCGTCAGATGCGTAGGCTGCAAAGGAACAAGTAATAGAGGTTTATTTCATGCTGAAAAAAAGAAGAAAGAGAACACAACGTTTCGGCCGTGGAGCCTTCTTCAGGTGTGTGACCTTGGTGTGTGACCAAGCCCACACCTGAAGAAGGCTCCACAGCCGAAACGTGTTTTCTTTCTTCTTTTTTTTCCAGCATGGAATAAACCTATTACTTGTAGAAAAGCTAGTCTGTCATTTTGTTAGTACAGCTTTTCTATGACCATTCAACTTACACGGATAGGCCTAATCATTTCTTTCTTGCCTTATCAGACGAAATACAGGCAGTTTCGGAAAAGTGTTGTCTCCTGGATCAAGACAAACGAATTCTCCAAAGTTGTCCTCCTGTCTAGCTGTCATGCTCATCATCGGGATGACCGTCAGCTCCTCAGGTGAGAGACCACTCATCTTTTATCTTCGGTTTTGTGTCATTTTGTCTTTCCCTTCTCTGTGTTGATAAAGACAAGTGGCTAGCAGATTTACTGCTGATACTGTGTGGTCTTTCAGCAGCACAATGTTGAGGGGAATAAGAAGAATAAAGCAGACAGGCAGAAGCTGTAGTTCGTTTAAACCTTTTCTTCCCGATGTTCTGGATGGACAATTATTCTGCGCAAGATAGAGAATACCTTTAACGCAAAGTAGCATTACATTAGTTGAATTGTTGTGTAGTAATGTGTGGTATGAGCAATGTTCCCTCTGAGCTGTGCGCGGGTAAGCTCACGCACAGGTTACGAGATCAGCGCACATAGGAAATTGAACTGCGCACAAAACATCAAATAAAAAAAAATGACGATAATAAAACAAACACGGTCGTCAATTGGAAAATGCTAAATTGACCACATGGGACTGGCTGAGAGAGGCCCACCTTGGCTGTGTGCATTATTACTGCTCCTCGATCATCGATATCTACGCTCTTGAAGTCTCGTACCTCACTGCTCGTGCTCGCGCGACACTCAGCCTCTATGACTGGGCTCGTTGAATCGCTGTCCTGGTCTTTTGGATCTCTATGCTTATATGAGGTTGACTATATTGACAAAAAAGAAATATTCCGTCCTCTGCTTCCAGCACTCCTCTGCGCTATTTGCTCACTCCTGCCCTGCAGAGCGTTGTCGGAGATGGACTGCAGAAGCTGGACTGGAAAGAGATGGAGAAGGTGTCGGCTTTTCCGGGGATCAGTGACACGGAGCAACGCCTGTACATCCCTGGAGGAGGTGTCACTAAAACCCTCTACGCTGACTGGTACGTCCAGCGAGACTGCGGCGTTCAGGACTTTCAGTGAACCCTGCACTTCTAAATGTACTATTCTCCCTTTTACACTAGTGTCCAGGGCCTTATTCTTTAAATTAACCCGCTGAGTTAAAAGTCGTCTGTATTCCACCAATCTGATTGCTAAATTCAAATTAATTTATTGAAATAGCATGGGAGCTTTATGCTGGATGTACATGTAACAAACCAAACGATCTAGAGAGAAATCAGCATGCATCTGAACGTACAGGCCAGAGCCCTAAGGTTATATAGAGAAAGCCAACAAATAAATCAAGTTCACATTACTTCACTGTCCATTTCTACTCTTTTTTTTTTCTAGTGAATTCTAAAAAAGCTCACAGGGTTGACTTTGTCAGTGTCTTTGAAGAATTTGAATACTTGTATCAGGTCTGTCAGTGTAAGGCTGTCAGGCTCTTCTCAGGACTGATTCCAGACCCGCTGAACTAAAAGCCTATGGGTCTTGTTGGGAGGCATTTCTGATCAATCGTACACTGTGTTCTACAAAGATGTAGATTTCTCCTGCTTGTAAAATATTGGCAAAAAGTTGGCAGTGACCCCTGTCCAAACTATTCCTTTTGGTGTAGTAGATAATACTAGGAAGCAAACATATATAAATTGTAATTATTACTTATGAATACTGAATACAATAAAAAGAAAATATTCTTATAATTGAACAAGTAATAGGTTTATTCCATGCTGAAAAAAAGAAGAAAGAGAACACAACGTTTCGGCCGTGGAGCCTTCTTCAGGTGTCACCCACCTGAACTACTATTCTTATAATTGTCACCCTAGATTTACCATGTGTGCCGACACATACAGTTCACCACACTTTCTGTACTGGACTTGTCTGAATAAAACTGATATTTTCTGTGCAATGCAAACATATATTGGGAGAGATTTGTGTATTTCTGTATTTCAGCTGTTCAGAAGGGATCCCATTAGCAGTGCTGTTGATATTCTGCTCCGAAGGTGACAATATGCCACATGCTTTTGCACTAGTGAACTACCTCAATGAGTGGCTCCATCTGGTGGAGAAGCCCGTAAGTATTTCAACAAGAGTTAGCTATGCGGGTTTTGTTTAGATTTGGGTGTTGCTAATAGGATGGAAAATTCAGTCTTACCATCCATAATTTTAGCAAAGGAAGCCAGCCCAGCTGCTCATTGTGAAAAGTATTCATGTATAGATAACATTTGTGACCTTTTTTTACATAAAAACATTAAGAATTCTAAAACTTTTAAGTACTGGATGGAATAAAATCATATTTATGTTTTTTTCTAAATAAATAATGTTCAGATGTTTTCACATCCAGTGAATAGCGTATATTGAAAATGAGTAGGTGTTTAATGCTGATTGCTCAAGGATCATCCAGCAGTGTAGTGGCTTAAGTAATACAGTCCTACTGCCAAATGGAAAAAGGGGGCATTAAGGCATCATTCTTGATTGACCATCACAACCTGTGCACATCAGGTCAGTTGAAGTTGTGGCTTTTTTTACTGCTTACCACACAAGAGCAAGCTATGTAATCTCAAGGAGCTGTAGAAGTCCCACACGAAGGTATGTCCAGAAATCCTACTGAGAAGAGCCTGAATGTGTTTGAATGCCTACGGGGAGTTCCTGCTTTATGCTATTATTATTTATTGTTATTGTCATCCTGTAAAGCGCTTTGAGAAGCCACCTTTAAAGGCGCTATATAAAATAAAGTTTATTATTATTATTATTATTATTATTATTAAAACCAGCGGCGGTTCCGGGAAATACAGATTTGCTGGGGTGTGGAAAAATTTGGAATTGTTTGGGGTTTTTTTGCACTACTCAAAATACCTGGTAGTCAATACATGTTATTGACAAGGGGGCAGTGCCGTGGCTCTGTGGATCTGTGCCTGTGGCTGGAGGGTTGCCGGTTCAAATCCCGCAGCCGGCAGAGGAATCCTACTCCCTTGGGCCCCTGAGCAAGGCACTTAACCCCAACTGGTCCAGGGGTGCTGTATAAATGGCTGACCCTACGCTCTGACCCCAAGCTTCTCTAACTGTCTGTGTGTCTCATGGAGAGCAAGCTGGGGTACGTGAAAAGACAGATTCCTAATACAAGAAATTGTAAAATGATCTGATCATCTTATTACAATCGTTCATGCTGTCATTTATTTATGCAACAAATACTGAATGTCTACTTGTATTTAATTTTGTTTGGACCAGCTTTCAGTTACATTGTGTCAGGGGAATGAGCACACTGGGAGTCAGCTGTGTGTGCACGTGTTTATATTTACAGTACGAGCTTAGAAGTTAGAATCTTTTTTTTTTACATTTTTCTTCCTCAGGGTAACGTGGCTGCGCGGTGGAAGATTCCTTCCTCATGGAAGCTCCTGTTTGGTAGTGGCTTCCCTCCAGCCCTCTTCTAAATAACTGACTGCAACGGCTTCCCAGCATCTGCAGAAGATCAGCATTTCCAGAAACTGCTTGCTATATAAAACATTTAAGGTTGCAGTAGCCGCGTGCTTCTGCCTTCGTTATGATGATGTGCGCTTTCCTGTGAACATGACTAAAATTGCTTAACAAGCTTGTTAGCCGGGAGATCTGAAGCCGATATTGCTTTTTTTTTTTTCCTTGTTGCGGTGTCAGACGGAGTTCAGTCGTAATTTACATTGATATACGTCTCAAACAATAAAACTGCAGGAAATCAACTAGCTTTTTGTTTTTGCTTGGGGATTTATTTCCATCAGAGATTATCCCAATTAACAATGTATACTATCTACAGAGTTACTGTGTTACTGCATTTTATATATTTTCGATGATGCCCTTGTCTATAGACATTTTCATTATCCACAAAAATACTCATGATCCCCAGCCCGTCAATTTATGATCTCAACAGTTATAAGATCATGAACCTGCAAGTGCTCCATTTATCTTTTAAAAAGTTGTTTTACTGAAACTGATTGAGCTCAGAATGCGTTTTTTCACTTAATAAGCTGGGCGAGCTGGCGCGTCTCTCTTATAGCTTCTAATGCACTCAATAAAAAACAAAGAATTCAAAAGAGAATGACGATATTCAATTTATTCCAACATAGATCACAAATGATGGTGTTTAACAGCAAAACAAAATGTTTGTCTTATATTTGATGATGAACTGGATGAAGAAAACTGGAAAAAAAACCCTCCCCAACACCAGTGCACAATGATTGTGAGTCGTAAATGAAGAATGATGTACAAGACAGAAAATTATCCTGATTTAGGTCAGTCTTCTGCTAACCTTGCAAATAATCAGAAGAAAATCATTCCTCAACCCAGTAAAACACTCCAATGTTGATCACACAAAAAATACATCTATACATTAACTGTACATAAAATATTGCTTTTTTCATAAAACAAAAAGATAATTTGGTCTCATGATTACTTAAAAAATTACAAAAAAAGTAATCTTTCTTAGCTATAATGTTTAATAACATGTAAGTTGCATTTTCTTGAACACCGCCAGCACAAACTTGATATATTACGTTTGCCTTGAAATAAGATGGAGACTTGTGCTGGTTTCTTAAGAAGTCACAGACTTTTACTGTACTGCACTACAGAATGGTGTCTCACTTGATACAAGGTCACAGAAATTGGGTTTCTTGATTTCTTCGAAACATCCTACAAATGCTTTAAAATCAGTCCCATTCTGTGAGTACTTTTCTTTTTCTGGGATGAAATCAAAAGGTTAGTTGCAGCTTTTCATTTACAAGCCTTCTGTTTCGCCCCAAATTTGGCTTATCATAACCTAGGAGTCTTGTCAGCATCTTGAACTGTCACTTTTATTTAAAATGCATTCATGTTGAAAATCCTGAAAAGCAACAAAGCCTGAGAAGTTAATCTAGAAAATGCACAGAATTTTGCAAAGGAGCTTCGGTAAGCGGAGTGGTGCCTTTCAGCGCTAAGAGAGCACTTGACTCTCTGGTGGTTCTGAGGCATTAGAGCCTTGTGCCAACACCAAACAATAACTCTGAATCCAGTGTTTTCAGGGTTCTGAATGAAACAGGTTCCAATGTACAGATTCAAGTCATCAGTTAAAAAAAAAAAGGCAAGCTATTTTGTTTCTTTAATGGAGAACTGATGGTACAATTTGCTTTGATGTTCCATGTCAGGAATGAGGTATTCTAAGTGACAGTAATTTACAGAAATATCAAGCAATACAGAACACTCACCCTAAGTGTTACATTTTCTTGTCCGTTCACCAGATTGTTTTGTTTTTGAGTATCTTGCCAGGAAACTGCAGTGATTGTCAGTCGATTCTATAGTTCAGACATAAACCAGAGATGATCAAATATTCCTTGCTCAGGTGTTTGTGCAGAAGAAAGCATCCATCACGTATGCATCAACAAATGGCATACATACTGTACTGTACCAAACGAGATAAGTTTTCATAGATACTCCATTCTGAGAAGATTGCCTTAAATAGATACCAGGTATAGCTGGCTAGTTCAGATTTAGTTATGTCAAAATAATTGATCTAGCAACATGTTTTGATTGCTAAGAGCACTACTCCAGACATCTCTCCAAAACATGTTCTGTACAAAGCAATTTCATGTGAAAAAGCCTTCAGTTACCTCAAAATGTGTCAGGTGAGTAGCTTTCAATCAGGTAAATAAAAATCACATTCATGATAGTTTAACCTCAGTATAGATTCTGATTTATGAGGCCAGAAGAATTAAAAAATAAAAACACCACTGTATATTAATAATTATAAACAAATACAATAAGTGTAATCAGAGATTTTTAAAACAGAAAATCAGGAACAGAATTATCTGTAAAACAGGAATAGCTGAAGAAATAATTTTAATTAATCATTTTAACTGCTGTACTTCCTTCTTACTTAACTCCTTACTTTTACAACTACGTTTTAACAAATAATTCAGCTAATCTGAAATAGTACAGATGTTGATTTATCCCCAAGTTACTTACAGAAAGCGTTTTCATAAGGTAATGGAAAATGCATTTTCTTAAAATGCTGCCTCTGGTGGAAAGCATTACAATTTTTACATTTTGATCTCTGAATAAAAAAAAACTTTGGCACCCTTTCTTATTTGGATGCTGGATAATGTTTCCATTATTACTGGAGTACAAACAGCATTTTCCAGAAATCCAGCAATAAACATACTAATAATATTCAATCATAAAATGCATCTGCCTGCTGAGGACTGGATGATTTAAATTATTCCTCGTCGCACAATGTATTTTTTGTAGTAGAATTTCAGATGCCTAACGATACTAAATTTGTCTTGGATCATGATGGTTACCTTAAAATAGCCTTATGTGAGTTTACTTCAGAAGCCCACAGCCGCTAAACAGTAGCAAATTATAGATTTTCCTGGAAACAATTATGTTGTCCACAATCTCAAGAAAGGGAGCCTTTTCCTGCTAATACTGCTTTTCACTTTGCTGAACTGATAGAATTACCACATCTACCATTTCTGGGAACATGAAATTAGTTCTTGGAAGGCAGCAGAAAAGATAAACATCTGATTTTGTTTGAAAGGTCGACTCAGTAATTCCAACTACAAAGATATCTACATCATTAGTCTTCTTTGATCAATGCAATGCACAGAGCACTTTATGCAAATTAGCATACATGCAAGGTTAAGAAACTAAAAGGGTCTTATACTTTCCTAATTTCCTAAGTTGTTTATATGGACTACCACAGAGAAATTTCTATTAGTCACACCTGTCAATAACTCCACTTATCAGAATACCCAAATGATTTAAATAGGATTTGACTGTTGTTCTAAGTTTTGTATCTGGAGGGCAGATTTAAAAGCTTACAAATACGAATGCGCCTGTCGTTTCAAAGTCAGAGCACCCTCTCTTTCTAAAAGACCAAGCCTGCTCATTGCACATGACCCTGATGTGCCCTCCCTCCAGCGACAGAACAACAGTCTCTTTATTACATTTACTAACTCTGTTGGCCTCCATTGTCTTTTGTTGAGAAGGTGTTATTTTTAGTTTTCCTTTTCCTGCAGTGCTGTATAATTGGATGTGTCTGTGCTGGAAGTCACAAGGTTGGGTTCTCTGATGTGGTCTCTCACTTCTGAAACGGCAGGTACGCGTTTACATTTAAAAACGTAGAGCCTTTGTCAGGCTCAAGTTTGCCAAAATGTTGACAAGTGTTTTGGAGTAGACAGTTTCCATCTGGTTGATTCTACTATTTTCAAAGTTTTTTTTTTTTTACCAGATCTGCGGGTCCATGCTCTTTTTATCCTTTTTTCTTCACATTTAAATTTATAAAGCATTAAAAATGATCTTTTGTGGCTACACGTATACTGTCAAAGCCAAATTCTGGGTTTTTTTGTAATAAGCTACTTGATGTGTGACAGTTTAAAATGTAAAATTGTCACACCACTTATATGTTTATTAATGGTAGTGCAATCAAATTCCATGAAATACCAAATTTTCCCCACAAAGCAAGTAAATTATTTTTCAAAACCCAATTAGAAAAGCAATGCACAGTGCTAATGTGATCCAAAGTAGTTCAGTCCTGGCATGGAGACAGAACTGGTATACCAACGCAGTTTATTGTGCAATGGATAATCTAATCCCATGTAATTTCGCAATTGGGACTGTTTGGCAGTGCCGATCCAAACAGTCTTAATTCATTGTTTGTAGCCCGCTGAACAGTTTCTATAACCAACTCACACACAACAAAGTTTAACCTTTTTACTATCCAATGTGCTTTGTAGTCACTGATTCTCTGTAGGGTTTGGGATGTGAAAGTGCAAGAAAAGGCAGCAAAGTGTCAGTAACATTCATAAACAGAGGACATCCACCAAGCACATGTATGTTTCCATATAATTTCTAAGTTTCCCCTAATTTCCAGCCAGCTGATACTACATAGATTCAAGTATTCGTCAGAGCAAAGGAACAATAGTTCATTAGGGACACCAGTTCTGTTTCTGCGGTAATCATTAATTCATTTTACTGTAGAACAGAGGTGCTGAAACGTAGTTTCCTCTTTAAGGTCTTCTGCCTTTGACATTTGCACAGCCTTTTCTTATGTAAAACAAACTGTGTAAGATAATGTTATACATTATACTATGTTACTTTTATGCCTTTTATATTCTTCAATTAGGAAAACTCTTAGAAAGTTTAAAACTCCTCCAAAATACTTTTAAATGAAGGTCAGTGAAAGGCAAAACACTCCTCTCCCTTATTATGAAATACAAAGAGTTAACAAATTGGACATCTGTAGTTTTTTATGCACCAATAAAAATGTAATTTCAAAAAATGGAATACTGCATTATGTAAATACTGCAGTTTTCCCTTTGAGGCATGAAGGCTTTCTTCCATTAACCTTATGAGGGGTTCACAGTCTCCTGGCAAGCAAGCCAAGGAATCTTAATGTAACTACTTAAAAAAATAGAGGATTTAATGCTGCCTTAAAAATAACAAAAATAGAGCATTACAAATTGTCAATGCAGATAGGCATATTCCAATTCATTCTGTATTTTAAGTGAATTACAAGCAATGGTGACAAAAAAGTGACAATACATGAAATCTGCTCCATCAGAGGAAGTCCCATGCTGGTGTGTTTAATTTTTCTTCATCCAAAGAATGTAGAAGTTTACGTTGTAAACAGTAAAGGGACATGAAGCTTGTCAAAGCAGAGGGTGACCTCACTGTGTGGCTGAAGATCCCTGCGGGTGCAGATTTGCGGCCCATTCGAGGACAAGACTAGAGCTGCAGTTACTCTCAGGGTCAGCTGTGTTAGGTGTTGCTCATTCTCGGCCTGCGACATACAACGCAAAACATAAAGAAAACTGTTTCAGTACAAACCCCCTTTTCCTCGACAAGCTAAGACAGTCCTTGCAATTGTTCCAACATTCCCCAGTTTCACCTGGGCAGACACAGGCATCCTCCCTGCTTTGCATTAATCCTCCCTGAGATAGGCAAGATAGTTTCTTACAAACGTGTCAGATTTTTACCGTTCTCCACAACACAAAATTACAAAATAGCATTTCACATTTTTAAGGAACTACCTAAATTCAGCACATTTCTACAGCACAGTCTCACAGAGATGAGAGCTTTGCAGTAGTTTAATGCATGAACCCTCAGCAAGAATGACACAGGCAAAACAGTTATTTCTAAAACATTTATTAAATACAAAAATAACAAGCTTACAAAACTGAAAATTAAGGAGTTACAGCTATAAATATCGACACATAAGACTAGTTCAGTTCTACTAGTTCATGCATTTGTCCTGTAAAATCCAGATGAAAAAAAATGTACTGTATACAAGCCTCTAGGGGCTGTTATCTACCAGGTCATTCAAGAGTCACTGAAGCACCAAGCAGATTATTGCAGTCACAGCTTCACCTTGCTGTACAACTACTTTGACCAAAGGAAAAATATTTTCTTACAATCTTGTTTTACTTGTTCTGATCATATTAGTAATGTTGGGATTCCACACAATGTTATTAGTAACTACAAAAAACATTTCTGAAGTTTGGCATGCCATCACATCAGAAATGAACCAGTATCTTAAATGCTATTTAAGAACTGGTTAACTTTGCAATAGCGTGGGAAGTACCCAGCCCTGAACAAGGCAGTAAGCCTGACAGACTGGTCAAACATTGTTTCATCACTCAGCTACAGTACTTACACAATCATTACACCTTTCTTCCCAAGAGTTAAAAATCTGAATGGGATTACCTTTGCCTAACCAGTTTCACAGCAATGTGAAGCAGATTCATTAAAAGGCAGTTTTATCATACTTGGTTAAAGGATTTTGCAAGCACAGCCTCAGACATCTATAAATTTCACATATTATGGCAGAACACAATGAAAGCTAAATGTGTTTTTCCCCACACATACATCGTTTACACCAGGAAGGCTCAACGTCTTTGATGTTAAGCATTCGCATTTAAAATCATTATTGCAGAACACATAAAGCACGAGCCTGCTGCTTCAATGACCATATGTACCAGTGTAAGACTATGGGCTTCAATTCCCCATGGGCAAGCCAGTGCCGCAACATTGCCACCCACAAACACTTGTCTGGGGCATTTACATCCAAAACTACAATCCTCTGTAAGGCAGCTGGCCGTGTCATCGCAACTACTTCTCTGCCAAAATATTCTATGAAATGGAAAATATTCCTTCAAACGGGGTCAATATTTTGATGACACGACACGATTACCTTGACCAACTGATTTACTGCATGTGACTCCGCACAGTGTCAAGATGTTAATGAAGACATTGACTTCTTTGTTTAGGCATAGCAAGGCTGTAGTTGTGCGTCTCAGCTACAGGTTCTAAGGGCTGATGTCTTTGACTTTGGCGTTTTAAACAGATGGGTAGCTTGTACACTCGAATTGTGGGTACATCGTTTGAGGAAATTGCTTTTTTTAAAAGAAGAAGCAGTTTAAAGGATGCATATTCTTATAAAGGACAGCTGGATAACAGTGCTACAACATTATGGCGGGTCCTACGTCTCATTACAACAGCCTAAATGGTCACACGGTCCTTTTCTATTTGTCAGCGATAATACACATCATCATCTCCTCCACAGATAAGGAGGTGCTAGCGTTTGACTAGAGATTTTGCACTCCTCTACGGAAACTGCTTCCAGTTTTAAAGTCTGTGGGGCGGAGCAAGAAGTTGACCTCTTGTGATTTTTTTGTGGGAATACGAAAACAACAAAAGACAAGAAACTGATATACAGTAACAGTTGCACGTTTTATATTCTGAGTGGAAACTGACCTCTAGACAGATCTTTCACAGTAGTTTGCAAACAAATACAGGCTGGTTTCTAGCTATAACACTTGGCCATACTTCTGGAACTGTCTACTGTTACCTTGCTGGTGTAAGAGTATTGCACTGAGGAGTGTCTGAATCCACTTGTACAACTAAGCCATGTTTTAAATTAATACTGAACAAACATCTTCATAGACTGCTATAACGAGTCAGGCTGAATGAGAGTACAGAGGCTACTACAGTATCATTAATCCAGAAAATGAATAAAGGGAAAAAATGTCAGCTTGCTTTTCTATCAGAGCAGGAGACTTGCAATGTGATCCTTATCAGTATACTGGAAGATTTAACTTTACATACATCCCAAAAAAGGGAAGACATTTTTAAGGAATGTATGTTGAACACAGCTAAATAAGACATTTGCTTTTCATTCATCAGAGCTTTAAAGTGCACTTTCAGAAATTATATAGGGGGTACTTATAGAATGACTTATAGAAGAAGTAGTTTAATAAACGTGTCAAACAAAAGTCTAATACTGTCAGATAACTAGATTTGTCAAAATCATTCAGAATCCTCACTTGCAAAATACAAAAGTACTTAATTGTAAACCATAATTCTTCAGTTTGCCTTAAAGTCATAGTAAATATCAAATCATCAATAAAACATTCTAATTGTCTACAGGCAACTTCAACATGTAGCCTATAATGAGACGACAAATATAACACAACACTCACAATGTTTGAATACAGCAATGGGCAGTGATGCTGCCAAATATTTTTAACTAAAACTTTTAATTTGTTTAAACTATTGAGACAGATCTCACTGCCGTGGGAAGGTTTCTGTGCAACGTATTCACAATTGAAATAAAAACCTAAGCTGGCCTGTCTTTCCTGCTGCTTCCTGCACCAGGGAGATTGTTCTAAACTTTACTTTCTGTATTCTTAGAACTGCAGAGCATCAGAAAAGTTCATATTTGTAATAAACGTTGAAAAGATTTTCAAATTATACCATACAAGACCGACAGAACTACAAGTTTCCTGACCTCTATCTCAGCGCGACCCTGGTCTCAACTGGCTGGGAAACACTTTTCGTAATTCACTGCGGAACTTGGCAGTAAAGGAACTTAACCGTTTGGAAGGTGTTTTTTGTCATCATGTAAATATACAGCAAAAAACGCTCAACAGTGAACAACTACTTCAGGATAAAAATAACTTGCATAGGACGATTTCAGTTTTATGAGGTTGGGCTGATTATTCTCTTAAGGAATAATGCTTTAGAGAACTTCCACTAAAGACAATCATTAAGGAACAAGAACAAAAGGGAATGTTGTGAATTAAAATCGGAATGACATCAAGTATGGTGCAAAATCGTGTCTTGGAACGCCAAAGATGTCTGGTCCCTGTTCTAAACTAGTTGCTTATTTGAAAATGAAAGTTGTCCCAAATAGCTGCAAACCATCTTTCTTTTTAATGTTAATGATAACGTATACACTACATCTTCTTGCAGGAACTTTGCAAAACAAGCTCGTATGGTGATTGGATGAAATGCAACAGAATAGACAACAAAAACGCTTCCATTTCGTACCCAATTAACATGTACCCAATTGAAAATGTTTGCTTGGCATCTAAAAATGTATCTGAAGTTCATAAATACTGAACAGTGCAGGACACATGTACATGTACAGTCGATGAAAAAAACTGCACAATCATGAGGGATACTGTGTTCACGCTTCCAAAACTTTTTCCAAAAAAGACAACGACTTTTGTTTTCTAATTGAATACTCATTTAAATTTAACTTTTATGACCTCTTTAGTTGTACTTTGTTTGAAATAGAGCACTTGTTAATATTCCAGCCAGCCATGGTTAACACCACAATTAAAGAAAAGAGGCACGAAATGTCATCCCAGATAAAAAGACATATAGCTTTTAATTCATAGGAAGTGAAAAGAAGAATAACAATAGGAAAGCCCATCTCAGAACTTCAGCAGTGGCACTGCACACAATGTGGTTTGAACAGCAGGGCTGTCCAGTCCTAGTCCTGCAGGTCTGGTATGTCTGTGGGGTTTAATTCCAACCCAGCTCTTAACAAGTTAAAACAAGAAGGTTAGTAGCTTTTCCACTCCCACTTAACAGCTTCTCCCAATCTCCTCATGTGCTGCTGCTCTAAAGAGAGTTTGAAAACCTGCAGAGACTTGGTCCCTCCAGGAGCTGGACTGTACACCTCTGCAGTAGACAAAAACTGACAGAGCCAGTGCAGTCGCTGTGGTCGGCTGGTATAACTCATCTCACTGCTTTACATGGGACAATACGGTTTCCCCGTATTTGGTCAAATTATCCAAATGCCTTATCGACTAAATATTAGCAAATACACACATATACATTATCCATTTTAAGAGAAATGTTTATATATTTAACTGGAATGTTTGAAATGGAAAAGAAGTTTGTTTCAGTCAAGAATTTATTTTCATTCAGGTGGGGGATACATTTATGATCTTATATTACCGGCTTCAGCAGATAAGCACGTGTATGTTTGTATGTAAACCTCCTAGAAGGTTAAGCATAGAGAACCACACAGAGTACTCTACATCAGCTCTTTCTAAAGTCAACGCTTGAAAAAAAAAAATCAAGCTGAAATGTTTCTTCAGAAACAAACATGTAACTATTAAAAAAAAATACCTATGCACAAAGATTTTATTGCAGTAGTATTCAGTTTTCTTTCTCGTGACCTCTGGGGATTAGTAGTTTTGACTAACATTAACTAGCAGATTCAGGTCACATTTAAAATATATTTTCGTAATTTCTGGATCTAAATTCACTGGGTAGAGTTAAGAGACTGTGGATTTTGAACTGCATGATTTAAAAATAAATGGTTACGGTCTTGCTTTTGTTTAAACTCCCGCACAGGTATGTCTGCTGATGCTCTCAGAGCTATATTGCAGACACTGCAAATTCTTAATTCATCCGAGTTCTGAGTTTTTACAGGCTTTCCCTGCATTTCTCTAAAAACTGGACACACTCCAAAAGTTTCCCTAATACTTCAAAATCTTTTTGGAAGCACTACAGGATTTGAAGAGATTGGGGACAGCAGTGCCTACTGCATTCTTTTAAGGTCTGTTTGCTTCCTCTCTCTACATGGGACTGCAGTGTATTATAACTCTGTACTCCACTACACTGCTGTCTGAACAGAAAACTGAATGGGAGAGTTCAATGAAGACTCTGCCATGGCAGTTCTCACTGTTTAGAATGCAGTCCTTAAGGTATGTCTATACAAAGCACCTTTACATAAAGGTGTAGTTAAATCTTCTAAGCAGATCCTAACCCTAAAGTCAAGGTACACATTTGACTATTAAATTATGTAGATCAAAAGTCCATTTATACTCAACTCACAGGAACAACACTTTGAACCATGAATAAGAAGAGGAACTCGGGACACGTAGGATCTTGAGGATGAATGAAGCATGCTAGTTAAAGTGAATGAAAAGACAGAAATTCTTCAATTCTTAAAAGGCCCTGAGAACTACCTGGTGCTATAAGGACCTCTATGCAATTATTTTGAAGAAAAAATCAGGACTTGCTCTAATTTTTAAAATTTCAGAACTCCCTATTATACAGGTTTCCTGCTTAAGATTTATACTGTGAAACCTAACTTTCAGACATAAGATGCAAAATAACAAAAACAAGGTTGTCACTTAAAAACAGACTGAGAACTAAATTTCAAAACCCCTAAAAGCAAAAGAGTAAAAAGCAACTCAAATCTAAATCTTTAGCACAATCACTTAAAAGTGTATAGTACGATTTTTTTTGGTACTAATTGTGCCTGAAGCCAGAAAAGACCCTGAGATGTTATGCTGTGATCTTGCTTTGAACTGTACACATTTTGAACTAATGCACCATGTTCTGACCTGAAGAAATGTGTCCCCATTCCATTTATGCACAGACAACCTGTACCAAATAAAATCTACTGTTTTTTCAGGTACTGGTACAATTGAACAAGTTCTGGTGTGCAATCTTAGTGCAAGAAGTCATTTACTGGAAAAGGAATCTCGAGCACACATACAATCCAATGAAAAATACAGCCCCTGCCCCAACATTAATGAGAATAGGTTTCCAGTATAACCACCTTTTTCTTTTTCTTTCTGCTTCACTTAACTTCTGTTTCATCTGCTGCACCTTCTGTGCAGTGGTTGCTATCCTCTCTTCTCTGTGTCTCTTGCGAACACTGTCAAAAAAAAAAAGATACGTTTCAGTGCGCACACAAGGTTAACAATTAAAAAATAATTCACCATTACAATCGAGAATTTATTAGAATTACAAAAAATGCTTGCAATTGTACAGGTTTCTACATTCCAAAAGGTTCTACAATCTACAATCTAAAGTCTACAAGGGCGACATTGAGAAGGTGAATACATTTGCAAAGCACCATATACAGTATAAGGGCACTGATTGTATTAATAACTCACACATTTACTAGTCCCTAAAAGCGTAGCCCTTCGTCTGTTAATATATTTTTGCACTGTATGTTGCTTAACTTGACAATATATTTTTAAGAAAAAAAATTCTCTACTGCTGTATTATTTTCCAATGTATCTCGGTTTTCCTCCTAATTGTGGACTGTGAAACTGAGGAATATATGTTGCCACAGGGATTACGATGGGGGGAACAGAACTGCATACTTTGGATGAAGTATCCTATGGAGTAAAGGCAATGTATGTGGCTGTTTCAATTTACTGGTGCTATCAAAGTATAATAGAGAATGTGGACTCTCCAATTATATCAGACTGTGCACGACTTTTAATAACTTTTTGTAATGTACCATCTACATTGTGTTGTGTGTTGTACAGTACACATCCTGAGAAAACTTTACGAATAGGAATTCCATTGATGTACCTACTGTATGGCAATAAACTCCTCTACTCTCTATTCTGTGGCAGGTGTATTTAACTTCTATATTATACAGGTGGCAGGACGTAGGGGGTGCACTTGCCTTCCTGTAATGCCATCCGTATTTTCTTGCTCTCTGCTGGACAGGTTCGTGTCCGCTGAGCTGTCCAGCTCAGGCTCCTCCCTCTCCTCCGAGAGCGACACCCTGCTCCCGTTGAACTTCTCCGTGCTGTGCCGGGGGGGCTGTGCTGACGGGGAGTTATCACAGGCGGGTTCTTGATCTTCTCTGGACAGCTCCTTCCACTGTTTCTGTAAGGTGGAAAAAATGCCACCTTATGTCACCACTCAATGCCAGAATTGAACATTTCTGAGACCTGAGATTTGTTTGCTTAACTTAAAACAACCAAAAAAAAAAATATTACAGGACATATTCCTGTACATATTGCTTAGAGGAAAGATAACTGATCTTAAAAGGAAGAAGAACGCTACACAGCCCAAACCACTATATATACGGTCAATTTCTTTTTAATGGAGTAGCCATACAAGTCTCATACACCTCTGAGACAAACAGCTGTAGATCTTTTTGCCACATTCTGAAAAAGGATAGGCTCAATACATCTGACAGACATGACAGTCCACTATGTTGTTTAAAACCCAGCGATCGTCCTTTTCAATGTGAAGCACAGAATTCGGCCTTAGTACAGCAGCTTGTACCTGAACAGAGGAATCTCCCATTATATATTTTGCTCCTTCTATTACAGCCATGTAGGAGAATCTCAGCTGGTCAGGAGTCTGGATGAGTCCCATTCGGTACTTTCTCATGTCCAGAAGTATTTTCTTAATATCCACAGATGAAGGATCTTTCCTTTTGTCCATCTGTAAAACAAAATGTATATTTTACCCATTTTTCTTTGCACAGTGTGCAATAAGCATTTAAGAATACAAAATGTATTACTTATCCAAACAGCACAAATGGTCTGAATGAATCAGTGCTACATCACAAAAAAAACAATAAGAGGAATGATTAATCACATTTTTTATTAGGAAACCACACTGCAATACTGACAGTGCACATTTTTAGAGCTGTCTTGGGCTGTGAAGTATTTTTTTCTGCAGTTCTCCAAAGTGCCACTTTATTCATGTCTACAGATTTATTTCAGATGCATTCTGGGTACAAACTTTTAAGTCATTACTTCCTGAATATTCAACTTCCTTTTTAACGCACTACTAACATAAGTGTAATAACTGGTTTCTGTACTTACCAGAAGAAGGCAGGTGTCTACCAGTGAAAATGTCCCTGAGCGTCCTATTCCAGCACTGCAATGAACTACAGCTGGCCCATGGTCAGAGTTTAGAGAGCCAGACTCTCTGACTTTGAACAAAAAATTAAGAAACGAGGCTGGAGATTCTGGCACTCCAAAATCTGGCCATGTGGTGTAATGAAAGTGAAAAATCTCCCTGGTCTCCCCAGTCTGGACAAACAGTAAAACAAAATGAGAATCGAGTTAGAAAGGATATACAAGACAGCCCTCTTTCACTTTTTTATCAATTTTTAAAAATCCAGAGTCTAAATCATAATTTCATCATTAGACCAGCAGGAGGCAATGTTTAAACCTTGGTTACCATTGCCTTTCGTACATTTAAAAAGTTTTCAAAACCAAAGAAGAAGGTTCCTTAAATTTCTAGATTAGGAAAAAATTACCAGACGTACCACAATACAGGATATAGGAAATTTGATGATCAGAGTATTTAAAGGAAAGGAAAAATACAAAATTTGAAATTTGAACTTTGATTTTAACACTGGACATTACAGGAAATTCAAAAATACAACATACATTTGTGTTTTTCAGCCCCAGAACTCGTACTGTATAATATGATTTAATATCTTCAGAAAGTAGCGTCACATGAAATCCAGTGTCCCTAAAAGACATTTCTCGCTCTTCTTTTGTTGGCCAGTACTGTGCACATTTTTCCTGTGGGGAAAAAAAAGTATAGTCATCTTCTGGAAAAACTATACTTCTAATAAAACTACAGGAGAATAATTAATTAATTTTGTAATTAATGGACTAAAGACTACTTTGCTGAAGCTGCTGAATTAAAATGTTAGCGTTTCCTTACATTGTTTGAAAGAACATCCCTGTCTATTCTAAATTGGAAAAACATTAAATATATTTGGGCTTATAAAAAAAAACCAATCAAGACAGAATAAACGAGCAAACATGAAGAAAAGGGTTAAAATAAAAGTGTATAAAGTAACACTTTATACAAGAGTTGTTTGAATGAATTTCTTAATTTCTTTACTAATAGCTTATCCAGTTTTATTGTTTTTCATGATTAAGAAATCTCTAAGAAAGATATGCCATGCTGACCAACTATCCTAACACACAGCATCTGGTTATATGAATAAGAAATTTCAGACACAAATGCTGTAATGGAGTTTTAGCATTCGTGTTTTCATTATTGATCAGGTTTTATCAAACTCTTATCGAACTGAGTCATATGTTGCCGATATTTAAAATCGGTTCATCTTAAATCGCCCAGGAAACAAAAGGAGTCATGATCACAACATGAGAAACACAATAATCAGTCAGACGTCAGTGGTAAATGTAAAGGGTACGCTTTGCATGCAGATTTTCCTTTACTTTGAAATTCTTAGCAAATGGTTACGTGATGTGGCACAGAAACTGTGTTGGTGTTGATTTAATAAAGACTTAGGCTTAATCATTGTAGGCAAAGTAGTTTATGGCAAGTGTACATGCCATTACTCATCAAAACCCCATTCATTGTGAAACCAATTACTTTTTCCAAATTAACTTTATATAGAGATTTGTTTCTGATCTACTTCCTGTACAATCCTCAGCCATCTCTTCCAGATTTACAATTTTTTTATTGTGAAAAATATAAATACCTTAGAGCACAGACACTGTCAGTCCTTAGGAGGTCATGCATTCCCAGTACAAACTAAGGCAAGCTAAAAGCTAGTCGAGAAGCATTTCCATTTTCATTTGCACCTGCAGCTGGATGATTTCTGTGTTGTGAATGGGATGACCAAGTTCAATTACCACAGACCACAGGAGAATCTCAAGTCTTATGAAATTGTAATTGTACATACTACCGTTTCAGTCAACTGACTTTCCCTCTGCCAACAGTACTTTCGGTGCACGTGGCCTGGCCCTCTGTATTTCAGAAAACGAAAATGAAATATTCCTTACCGAGCCTTTTTCAATGACTCTGTTCAACATGATGACAGCTCTGCTCTTTTGTTCCCATATCATCAACCAGAAGTGACCACAAGTGTTGCGAAGTGGTCCCTACAGAAATACAAGTGGAGTCACCATCTTCCATAAAAAACAAAGACAGATGTAACCAGCCATTCATTTTCTAAATGTCAATACAGGGATGGGGGGGATCCATAGTCTATCCCAACAGGCAACGGGCGAAAGGCAGGGTACCATCTGGACAGGACACAAGCCCACTGCAGGGCACACACAAGCCCACTGCAGGACACACACAAGCCCACTGCAGGACACACACAGACACACACAGACACACACGAGCCCATTTTCCTGGAAGCCAATTAACCTACCAGTACACTTTCAGACTGTGGGGGGAGACTGAAGCACTCAGAGGAATCACATGCGAACATGAGGGGAACAAAGAAACTTTACCCCAGGTTCAGAATTGAACCCAGGACCCCAGAGCTGTGATACAGCAACGCTAACCACTGCACCACTGTGCTGCCCACAAATGTCAACTATACTGTATTTTCAAATATTGGTATTTAGGGAGACCAAAGAGCTTAATAAGGGTATGTAGCGATCAGAAAAAAAAGAAACTCTGACAATTTCTAATATTTAAACAACATCTTGTTGCACAAAAATGATTGATTGTCTTTACAATACAATTAATAGGATTGGTACAAACATGTATAGAACAATAGACCTCCTACATAGGCTTCTTCCTAAATTAGCTCCAAATAAAGCTATAAAACGCTTTTAGCAATGGACAAACTTTTATTAATACCTTAAAATCACAAGATAGCTTATACTCTGGGGACAAAGTAATGAAAACTTTACAAATTAGCCCACAAATGGAATTTATGTATGACCCCCCCCCCCCATTTTAACTGAAACGATTTCTGCTTCTTCCCAGCTGTTTGACATCTTTGAAGTAAGACACTCTGCAGAAAACAGGCCCACACAACCTTGTGATTTATTAGTCTTGTGTTCAGTCTACTTTCAAACAAAGGCATCATTCTTTTCAATCAAGAACTCACAAACAGGCGCTGCTGAAAATTTCAGCCAGGAGTAAACACTGCCTTTTGAAATTGAAAGTTAGTGCGTCTAATAATCCCTACCTCAAAACAGCTGTGATATTAAAACTATATCCAATACAAAATCCTCTATCCCTCCCTCGCCTTAAATGATAATGTGTTTTTATACCCAACAACACAGCAATGTATATTTTTCCATATAGATATATATATCTGGCAAGATATAAATTCTGGCAGTATCTTTGTGTGTGGAGTTTGCATGTTCTGCCCACATTTGCATGGACATTTGTCAGACTCTCTGGTATACTACCACTTTCCCCACATACTTGACAGGTCGGATTGGCTTTCAGCAAATATACATTGTTCCTTCCTCAGCAGCCCTGTGGCAGCCTGACATCCAACATGGGGGTAAATCAGATGTGGGTTTTTTTTATATATTTTTGGCCATGCGAGGCTGTCAAACCCCTGCTGCAGGAGTAACTGGGACTACGCACTGAATGGGATACCAGTCCTTCACAGTTCACCCACATTCACATACAGCGGGCAATCTATAATTTAACATGGACAGCATGTCTCTAGGCTGTAGGAGTAAACCTAAGAGGCACAGAAAAACTAAATGGACAAGAGAGCACATGCAAACTCCACACAGAAGGCACCCCAGTCCGGAATAAAACCCAGAACTCATGAGCTGTGTCCTACCATGGTCCACACAGTGAACATGATTATGGCTGTCACAGTTTGCAGGTACCTACCTGAGTTAATATGTAGTTTCTTTGGGCTTCTTCCATTACAACCAGGCTAGCATTGATATAATCATTTTCTGCATTTTCTAGCTTAACGCGACTGTGGTCAACTGAAACAAATGAAACAGATTTTTTTTTTTCCCCGACATGCATACAGCGGTGAATAAACATGAGTTTAATACACAAACAAACATTTAAAACACCACCTAGTGACATTGGAGGATTTATCTATGAATTAAGACGTCGGCAGATGATTGAAAAGGCCACATTTTGAAGAGAAACAAGATCAAAGGGGCGGTGTACTCAAACTCCATTTTTATTGCTATCACTTTTTTTTCCTGTGCAAGTTACTTCCGTGCTTCAGGATATAGTACTGTAGGTGTTTCAGCAGAGCAGTGCAAGTATGACACGTGGTGCCTATCCGATAAGGGATTGCTAAAAAGAGACATGATCAAAGGCATCTATTCATACGTACATTTTTGTCAAGTAGGTATAAATTCACATTCAATTTCTAATATTAATATTTTAACAGATCAAATTAAAGCTTATCATAAACATTTCTGACAGCCTCAAAAATGTTCTTTACATTGCGTGCTCAAAATGAAAAACCTTGAAGTCAGCTGCCAACAACCACCAACATAACCTCGCTCATAGTACAAAAGCAAGCAAGACTTAATCAGAATGCTTTATTTGCGTATTACTGCCCCTGACATAGTCTATCCCTACTTGTTAATCTATGATTTAAAACTTTAATAAACTAATTAAAGCCAAGTTTAATAAGCTAATTAAAGTTAATTTAATTTTAATTAGTTTAATTTGGTTTAAATTCTCTTTTACAGAATTAAGTCAATCCATTCCCATTCCTCCTTTATTTATACCTGCTCTGATATATGTGGAGTAGACTAACTCTGCTTGGCTCTGTCTGTACAGAACAGCTTTTACTGCACATTTTTGCAAGTCTGAATGAACAGCAAAAAAAGGCTGCGTCTTATGGGAACCCACAGAGGCATTCTTTCTCGGAAACATTACATCACCTTCGGTGGAGTGCGAGCGAGAAAGATCTGTGATGCAGGAAAGACTTCAGCAAAATGAAGCTCTACTACAGCAATAATGTAATGGTCTGTGGCCGGTGGTGGCGAGGGGGGGGGGCGGGTGAGTACTAATTCTAAGAGGTTATCTTTTAATATTCATTGACCTTAACAATTTTCTCTTCTTTAAAAGTTTTCAGGAGTTTCAAAGAACACCCTTCACTTTCAGAAACAACTAGACTATGAAATCTATAAAGAACTCAATAAAATGTAATCCTTGATTAGATTTTGCTTACCAAGTGTACTGTGATCAGATAACTCATAATCGTGCACATTAGAGATTGGATCCAAAAATAAATTTCTGAAGCAACGAGCATTTTAACTGACTTCTAATTAATAAAACAGGAAACAAAAAACCTAACAGCTGGCCCTCAGCCCTTACTTTATTTAGTATCAGTTTCATGGTTCTCACTCATTAATGCACATTTAAAGGTACACAATACACATAAAACCGCAGAGCAGGAAAATATGGTGTGATTTCTCCACAAATTTCACAGTTAAATTCTTTATTTTCGCAGTTTTACACACTTGTACTAAACAACATATTGTGCAATTTTTAATTATTCCAGAGTTTTTAATATAGAAACATGACAGGAAAGCAATAGAAAATTAACTACCATAAATGAGCTCTTTCACAGTTAACAGTGTACACTTATCTTCTCAAATAGGTGCTATTAAGCATCTCCAACTACAGTTTTTAATATAATTACACTGCACATTTATGGATGCATCACATTCACCTATGCACTGTATATACATTGTATATCTAAGAAGATGTATGGAAAAAATAGCTTGGTATATTTAAGTAAACACCTTTATTTGATCTTGTTATCATGTTGGAAGACTTGAAAAAGATTTTGACACTCTTTAGGAAATAAAGGACATTTATGGAGTTTTCAAACACCTACATATGTAGTACGTCTGGATAAAAAGGTACTCTAATACTCTGAAAGTTAAAAACAAGTACAACTGAATTGTATCACTGTACATATATTGTGAAATTGCACAATTGATATATAAAATTGCTTGTTAATCTGGTTCAACAATCTGGGAAGAGAACAAAAGTATTTTTCTTGTCACACCAGATCTAAAATTAACCAACTGTACATTATAGACATGAAGCAAATACATATTTAGCATTAAAAATAAATACCACAGCAATAGGTAAACTCAGATCAGGAGTTCTGCATTTTTTATGCAGAATGTTTTTTTTAACACTACTACAGAGCACTGGAGCAACACAACAATAGGATTATTAACACTGTAAGCATTCTAAGTAAATCTTTTGCTGGGCAAAGTTATAAGGTTATGTAGGCTTTATAATGTAAACAAAATATAAGAATCCTATCAATTCTAATATCACAAGTTTATTTTGCCAAGTAAGTAGTATTCAGATTTGGGATACTTACATGGGCTGACGTCTCTGTATCTATTTCGGTTTCGATTCTCCGGATATTTTGCCACTCTGTATGGACATTCATGTGACTGGTTGCGTATTTCCTGAAAAAGAACAACCAGAAACATTATAAACAGGTTTCCACATACAGCGAAATCACTGGCATGAAGGAAAGATTCCTTTAGCAGCCTTGGACAGTCAACACATTGGTAGGTCAGAGGCCAGTGTTAATGATTTATTATTCACTTTCCTGGACACTTCCTGAAGGACAAATCACTTTACAACACCCATTCACAGTGACGAGTGAGAGCTGTTTTTTTTTTTTTATATCTCAGAGCTGTCAAGAGGCTTAGCCAGTGAAGGTGCTCTCCCCACTGGAGACTGAGCTCCGCGATACAGGCAGTGTCACTAGCCGACTGTGACTGAGATCCCCCATGCACTGACATATAAGTGGCTCATCCCACCAAGGATGAGGTTACTAGACAACCAGGAAGGCTGCAGGTTTGTGCAGCAGCAGTCAAGGGACGCGTCTCTCCTTCACCCATCAATCAACCTCCAGGCAGAGCTGCGGAGGCAGCGAGGTGTTAAAGGGCGAGAGGCTCGTAGGAGGGTGGGCTGGAGCAGCCTGTCTACTCTTCCTCACTCTCCCCTGCCTGTGGCTGCAGGGCTTGAAGCTGAGAGCCGAGACAAAGAAAAAAAAAACACATACCTCAGCTGGCTCACCTACTAAAGCTGTGCATTCAGGGCACAGACTGTATCGCCGATTCAAATCTGTGCCGTTAGCTGACTGACCAGAATTCCCCAGGTGGAGCCACACACCATACTAGTCAAGCAGTGAAGGGGTCAGGTGGACCAGAATAAAGCTGTTCGCCAAGAGCTGGCCTGGTTACAGTTCAGGCACATGTGATCTGACTCACTGGTGAGAAACATCACCTGTTCTGCTATATCTGATGCCTGAAGACTCATTGATACAGTGAGCTCCGGGTGTGAACAACAAGCCATTCTTTCCTGGCAGAGCTCACATCAAGTACAGCAGTTAAATCTGTCTACATGAGAACCTGTTTTTACTTTGGTTACTGTTTTCAAACAATAACCCATCTCAAAACAGTGAAGAAATGTATTTTTATGTTACTCTAAGAATATTTTACATTTACTATAAGTTCCATTTAGCCTAATGTGACCTTTTAAGACAAAACGCTTTATTTCCTCTGTAAAGGAGAAACACTTGAAAGTGCTCAATGCTGTATATTAAAATATAGGCCTATATTTCCAAAAACAAATTCTGAGCTTATTTTTTACACTTTTATGCTTGAGTGAAAGGTGTTAATTAGGAGGATTTGTTCTGTTTTATTACCCCAAAACACTAATGCATTTATCATTAAAGTGTAAAGGGAAGACATATACAGTATTGTATATGAAAGGAGCACTGAGGTTTTTTTAAACAGGAAATGAAGTAACATTGTTTTTAAGCACCTTTGTTAAAACATTACTATAAAAGAAAAAAATAGGTGTTTAAAAACATGTCAGATAGAGAACTGACCATTTTAGGTTTTTACAACATGTAAGGTCATTATGTAAAATATTATTCAAAAAACAGAAACATAGTGCTGCCTGAGTAACTTTCATAGCCTTGAGCAGTGATACTCTTTACTGGTACTAAGAATGCAGTATTTCCTGCTGCAAGCAAAAAACAGAACTTTGCTCGAGTCCTTAATCAAAAGTGCTTCCACGATTTTACTCTTAAAAAGCTGAATAAGATTTGTCATTGCTCGCTGTTTTCATACCAATGTGGTGAAAAACAAAAAAACTGTAGGAGTCCGTCACATTTCACTGCTTGTATCTGTCAAAGACCGATCAACTTTTAAACAGCTGTTTAAGGCAGAAATAAGGATCAGTAGGTTGAGGAGACACTGCTTGACGTACCTTTGAAATAAGGCACCTGTGAAACTCAGGACACACTCCTGCTGTACTAGTTACTGTGAAGTCTTTAACAAGCATGTCAATTCAAAGCATTCATCAGCACTGGTGATCCGGAGCTCCAGTGGCTCTCCTGGACCAAGGCTGGGACCCACTGCCCTAGAACAATTCTACAGTGAACTTTCTATTTCTTTCTGTTGTCTGACGCTGAGGTGAGGCAGTAGTGCTGGGACTTGGAGCCTTCCTTTGTCATTTTGTAGATGTTACTTCATGAAAAGCTTGGAGAGAGGGGTGTGGCATTTTGGACTTCTCTTTTCCAGTCAAGTCAAATAAGCCACTCCATGTTGACCTTGGTGAGGGGGGGTGATAGGGGCTGCCCCTTTCAGCTCCCCCCACTCCACCCGACCCCCCCAACGACACCCTTGTATCTGTTGCTTTTGCCATTTGAAACACAGGTCAATTCTCACTGGTCTTTTTTTTTTGTCTTACTGATAAACTATACAAGCTTTAAAACAGCTGCAATTTACATTTGACATTTCTCATTGTCACAGGTATGCTCTTACACGTTATGCCGAATATAAGGCATCACATTTACACTGCAGTAATGTTTTCATGGCATTTGGAGTGCAAACTACTGTTATTAAAATATCCCACCTTTTTAGCTAGCACAGCTCCATGTACTCCAGAAATGATTAAGAAACTAGCCATGTATTCATATCTATTACCATCCCTGAACATCTAAAAGAGGGAGGTTATTTTGGCTGCACATTTTTTTCTCTTGCATTCATTCTCTGGTGAAGCTCATCCCATATACCTTTCACAGCAGACGACTGGGGGAGATGTTTATGTGAAATAAGAATGGTGTATTATCTTTATATTTAAGAAACCCAAAAATATTTATACACTTAAAAATGCCATCAACAATGGAAAAATACTAAAACTGCCTTCACAAAAAAACATGATTAGCAGGGAGCTATATAAGGTCTTGTTTTGAAACACATAAAACACCTTTTCATCCTCCCTTTAAAACTGCTGCCCACTCGGCAATGTTCCCTATTGCAACAGCAAGAAAACACGTGGGCTCGCTTTAAACTAAAAGGCACCTCTTTAAAGAGAGGAGTGCTTTGCACCAATACTGCACACGAGTAGTGTTCTTTCGACATGGAGACAGATGTGAGTCGCTGCCACTCCTCATTAAACCAGACTGGTAAAGGTGCTTAGGAATTTAATACTGCAGTACAGCTCTGTCCTGACTGACCCCCTGCTTACTGCATAAGTCATATATTTTCCATTCATGGGAGTACTGGTGGATAGATAACGTTCACCCAGTCGTTCAGAAACATAAGAAACGCAAGACAGGCATTCCAACCCTGCTACTGATTTTGTCGTCACAACTGTTAACACTGTTAACAATGGGAATTTGAAATGAAACACGGAAGCCACATCATTACTGTAAAAGGCTGATTTCGTGGCAACGACTGTTTTTTTTTTACAGGTGTGTCGTTAAAAAGGCATGAGTTCCCGACCAGACTTCAGAGTCAGCAGAAAGCTTTCTTGGCATGTGGCTCTTGCAATGTGGTCTTTCGACCCTTTTTTTTTTTTTTAGGAATAAGCGGCGGTCAAAACAGTCTACTCAAAATGAATGAGAAACCACATGATCTCGTGGAAGTCGCGGCCATAGCGGAGTCCGTGCAGGCGACACGCTCGTGTCTGCTCCTGGGAAGCCCCGCTTCCGAGAACACGAGCGCGGCGCACGGTACCGGAAGCGAGCTTTGACGTCGAAGCAAACTGGTCGAACTTTCAGGGGGCAGTTTAGTAAACAGACGTGCTGTTGCACACCTGTATTAAGCTTCGGGTGCGAAGTACAGGATTACTGGTAATTGGGGTCTGCGAATCCTCTGGTAGGAATAATATACAATACCAGAGCTGCAACAGCTGCGCTACGCAAGACAAAACATTAAGTCACTTGGAGCGTTTAAAGCCAATGATCGGCTTAAGTTTTTACACCCTAAGTGACTATATTGCTTACGACTAGCAGTAAAGCGTCAGTTTATTTTACGCAGCTGGAACTGAGCGAAATATGATAATCTGATTACTACTGAGAACCTGCTTTCAGGTTAAGACACTAAACTAACACTCACTACACGCTTCTGATACGTCCAATGTTTGCGAAGCTTTTTTTTTTGGGGGTAATTTTTTTTAAATCGCTGTTTGAAATATCCAGGAGAATTTCCTAGCGTCTACTACATTCCTTTTAAACCTCCGGTGCGCGCTCCCGCAATTCCTGGTAACGAGCAGGGCATGCGCACCGCCGCCACGGGTCTGGGCGGCGCAGGCGCAGTACCACTCGCGGGCTCGGTGCGCGCCGCCGAGGCCAGGCTGCGGCCCAGGAACTTCCTAGAGGAAAGTCGGAAGCTAGGCGTTCAAACGTCTCCCAGAGCACAGCTGCTGCGGAGAGGGGGTAACGAAAAACGCGAGTTGAGACTTACGAAGTACAAATTCTGCCACCGGCCCGCCGAGTCCATATCCCGAAACTCCTGGTCCATCGTTGCTGTGCCGGTGCGGTGCCAATCCCCCCCCCTCCCTTCTCCGCGGACGTAGAAATTGAGTCAGTTGTTGTCGGCGTTCACGGCTTCAGTCGCTACACATCCTCCAGCCGAGCCATTTGCCGGAACACGGCGAAACAAACTGCGTGTCCGTGTAACTGACATCAACGCGGAGAGCGGCGCCTCTGCCCGCGCCTGCGCACTGGCGGGGGGCCCTTCGCTGCTCGGGCGGCGGCGCGAGAGGAGGCGCAGGCAGGTTGTCGGATGTGCGATGAGACGGCGGAGGGAGGTCTGGCGCCCAGGGATGACACCGGGCGGAATGAATGTCATTGGTTAGACAGGTGTATTTTTAGCTGGACGTGTAGGCTTTAGGTTAATCACCCACCCCACACAGACACACATATATACCCCCCCCGCCGCCTACAATTGCAATATTCTTGCCGCTTTTTCAAGAACATCAAACCGCAGCGAAAAAAAAAACTTCGCTCTCTATTACGTACTTCTTCTGCCTCCCGATGAACGATAACGTGTCACGCATCATGACTGTATTGAAAACTGTTGGAAGAAATAAGGAAAGGAGATGGGCGTAAGACCGGCGCTGTGTGAACCGCGCAAAATGTCAAGCTGTGTCTGACAAAAAGGTTATAACTCGGTTTCAGATGAATCGGGAAGTGGCGTGTCCCTTTTACGACACAAATCAAAACTTCATTGACGGAATGAGGCATTTGGCGACTACCGCTTTTCAGGGTCGTGCCGGTATCGTGCCTGCCCATCTGGAAGCTGCTGAAATGAACATTAGCCTTTTAAGGGTGGTGATCAATCGTGGGAAGTTATTATTTGCTCTTTCGCCCTCGCGTTATTTTTTTTTTTAACTTGAAGCCATGAAACATTGCCCTCAGGAGAATACGAAATCTTGACCTTAGACGGTAGCTGCATGTGCTATTTTTTCTAAGTGAACTGTCTACAAAAGAAAACAGGTCAGCCGAGAATAACACAAGCGATCGAAAATCCTCTAATGGCTACTTACAGATATTTAATATATGTGTAACAATTATCAGAAACAATTGCTGCTAAAACTGTTAAAGCTAACTGTCAACAGGAAACCTGAACTACACAGGTTATTCTTTTTGGATCTTATTCTTTCACTAGTGTAATGATGGTGTTGATACTGTGTTAGACACAGTCCAGTGTGTTTGGGAATATTTCTGGGGAGTGCTTAGTTTTAGTGTTAGGGTCTGGGATATGTCATTAGGTTCAGGTGTAATCAGAACTCAGCAATGAGCTCAGTGCAATCAGACTGCCGCCTGGAACAACCAGCAAATACATAGTATTTTCTGACAGCTCTCATCCAGCTTTCCAGGCAATGGAAAAAAAAATGAGTTTAATCTTTTAATAAGAATAACAATTGCAACAATAACACTTCTTAATACACATTAACAGTGTCTGGCATTAGTCAAACTGAACTGGTTGTGATGTTTTTCTTATTCTGATGGAATTTGAAAACTGTGGTTCCTCATTATTTTCACTTTGGTTCATCCAGCAGACTTCTTCGGGATGAAGAGAGAAACGTGAGTCTGAGGACGCAAGTGGAAACTACTTGGACATGCCGTTAAAACTGGGAGCACGATGCACTCCTTTACTCCCAGAGTGGCGGGGGTGTGGAGCAAGCTCCCCGATACCCTGGTTTCCTTCAAGAAGCAGTTGGATAAGATCCTTGTGTCAATTAACTATTAACTACCAAACGAACTAGGGAGACCAAATGGCATCTCTTCTCGTTTGTAGCCGTTCTTATGTTCTCTGTGTGGCATGGAGCTCGGAAAAATAATTGGAAAACAGCAGCCCCAGCTCAGCGATTTATATCACAATACAGTTCTCAGAATGGCGAGGAACATTACAGCTGATTCCACCCACCCTCTGCATTCTCAAGTCATAATACTCCCCTCAGAGAGACGGTACAGGGTACCAAATTCAAATAAAAACTTTTATAAGACGTCTGTGTCAGTGAATGTATGTAAATGTAGTCCCCCCCACTACCCATTTACTTTTGTATCACATACTGATGTTGTGACTATTTGACTCTTATGTTTTGCTTGTGTGTTTTGTACTTCTGTGGGAGAATCCAAAAACAACCGTAGTGGACAATAGAGTATCTGTCTAGGCCTCATCTACCATGTTAATGCTGTTGTCCTCCCCCCCTCCCCAAGAGGAGTGTTCAAGATTCCTGCTGTTATTTTCCTCTGCCTGGACAACTGTGGTGCTGCTGCTGCTCATCATGGAGTCATGAAGCTCCAGAGCTGAGGTGGTGAGGGGCTTTTTAGGAATTTGAATACCCCATTGGAATTGCCACATGATCACCTGTGATCCCTTACCCTTATACTGCGTGAGTGCATCGTGGCCATCGAGCGCATTTTATGCCTTGAGTGCCCTCTAGTGGCTGACTCGTGGTCATTACAACCTCTCCGCGCTGCTGTACAGCTACAATGCCGGACATCCCTTTTAAGTACACGTGTATAAACATCACCGCAGACATCCACATTTAAAAAGTACAGCATATGGAAGCAATAGAAGCATTTTAACTGAACTATATTTAACGCATTATTTGGGAGAATATTTAGGTTGTGCTTTTAAGTCTAAAAATCATTTGGAAAATCGTTTCATTGTTCGGCTACCTCTTTTTCAAAGTTACTACCAAACGGGTTAGATGGGCTGGCTGTTATTCTCTCGTTTGTAACTTCTCTTTTGTTATGTCTAAATCAATCTTCATCCAAAATCATGAGGTTATTAACGAACTGTGGAATCTGTATGATTTGATCAAATCTGCATATGGATCTTGTGTTGACAAAACGCAGATCCGATTAAGATTTTTTAAATGTTCAGTTTTTTTTTAAGCTTCCTGGAAAGCGCTCATAAAATCTGATTTGTTGCAGTGTTAGTAGTGTTGGGAAGATTTGCTTTGCTTTTAAGAACTGTTGCACAATACTTCCGTAAAAGATGTTTTTACATCAAATGATAACTTGGGGGAATTGCTTTTATTGGGAAATAAAATCATGGTGCATAATAACTAAACACACGCTACATGGGTCACTGTAATTGAGGGGTTGTAAAATCGGATTTTCCCAGAATGTGTTCATATTAAACTCACTTCTCACTGAAATAACAGAGGAATAGCCCGAGGTGCCATCTTGTGGTGGACTGTTGCAATGACCTCATGAAGGCAGGCGCCAGAAATGGGTTGGAGAACGTAGGTGCAGCGCTCACATGTAGTTAAATCTAGGTTGCATTAGAAAAAATAAAGTCTGGGGTGAATTGTAACGCTTTAAAACACGCCTTTGAAGAGTTCAGAACAACGCCGGTGGACGATGTTCGTCGCTCGGAGCATTGCGGCGGATCACAAGGATCTGATCCACGATGTTTCCTACGATTTTCACGGCAGGAGAATGGCGACTTGTTCCAGCGACCAGAGTGTCAAGGTAATTCCATGCGAGTTTTTTTTTTTTTAAAAAGATGAATACATCATCCTAACGCCGAGGAGTCGTGTCAATAAATCAGAGTACCCATCGTGCTAGGAAGCGTAAATTTAACAGCTGCACGAAGCAATCGGCTTGAAGCGTTTCTGCGTTGCGGCATGTAAACAAACGGGCTGTGTAGGCCTGAGAGTTGGGCGCCGGGTCTGTGAATGTCACGAGTGAATGTATCTTGCATTGGGGTTTGAATTTAGTTTTCCGCTCTGGGCTGGGAACACATATACTTTAACCACGAAGAGCTCGGATACAGTCCTTTATAAAGCCTTGGTTTAGCAGGTTATACTATATCAGAAACCCTCAAGTATACGTTTGCTTCTATGAAGTCCTCAATGCGCCACTTGAAGACGTATAATAGTACGACTTGTTCAAGTGTTTTATTTAAATCTATCGTTTTAAGACGTTCAAGCTTCACAAGTAATACATCATTAAAAGATTAATAGCTGGTATATTTTACTACTACTATGTCACCGAGATAAAGGTTCATTAATTTCCCCCTAGCTGCACACACTTGTAGAACAGATTTTAACCAAATTATTTTTCTTAATACATTAGCTCGTAGCTTGTACATAGCTATATAAATCTTTGAGACGTATTGCGGAACATCCTGACATTTTAGTATTTACTGCTGCTGTCTAACATTCCATGCAGAGATGATTTTCAAAGCTTTTAGATGTTCAAGCCAAGGATGAGTTTGAGCCAGTTATTTAATTATTGTTTTCCAAATCGGTAAAACAATTTCATGGCTTTTCTGGAAAGACTGGGCAATGTTTGATCCCATTAGCAAAAATCGATGTTTATTTTTCAAAAAATAGTGTTATTTATAGAAAGATAAACAAAATACACAGAGAATATTTACAAGAGCTGATTCTGTGATTGTTTCAGGTCTGGGACAAAAGTGAAAACGGAGAATGGCACTGCACAGCCAGTTGGAAGGTGAGGATTATTCAAAACCAGTGCTTAGTTTTTTTTTAATCTTCCGCCCAGAATGTGTTGATAAAAGTGTTTTCATTCGCCTACGACACTGTAGATCAGGAATTAGTTGAAGACGGCAAAGGGCCTTTCCCTGCATCATGTCCTGGTTTGTCTCTGCTGCATATTTTTTCTTGCTCTTTCTGCTTGGATCATTTGCCAAATTGGGGACCTGAGGTAATTAAATATAGGCTCTGAAAAGCTGGATCGAGTGGAGGCTCAGTAGTGCAGTTAGGCCCTGGGTTCAATTCCTGGGGTGCTGCCTGCGTGGAATTTGTAGGTTCTCTCACTGTGTTTCTGTGGGCTACCTCTGGGTCCTCTGGCTTCCTCTCACAGGCCGAAGCCCAGCATTATAACATCAACCCTACCCTTCATAAATTGATTCTTCTCAGTCGTGCTAATATATGTGGTCAGACTTCATAAAGAGCTCTCATTAAATCTCCCATCTCCAAGGGGAGCCTGCCAGTCATTCATTTATTCAAGCGAATCTTCTTTTTAAAAGACCTTCGTGAGTTATGGTTCATAACGTGGTTGGCAGATAATCTGTCCTCTCAGAAAAATGGAAAGGAATGTAAAGCAGACACTGAACAGCACCACGACCACCGCAGGCAGAGGCTTTCCATCTGAGAGCATGTGTGTGGGGGGAGTTGGAATGAGAAACCCGAGGAGGAGGTTTCTGTATCACGCAGAGCTACAGTTCTATACAGTACACACACCAACGACTAGATTCAGCGCAGATCTTGCTACTGTTGAATTCACTAACCAGCAGCCTGGGTCGAGCAGACTGTGGTGTTGTACATTTGAAAGCCATTTCTTAAGCTTCCCGGCTGTGGGAGAAGGTTGTGGTGTTTTGCTTTTAAGTACTTTTTCCAACGGCCTGAATGAGTTCAGGCCTGAGAAGCAGAAGACTGAGAAATGCTTGCAGCTTCTACTGTTCTGCTGCATCCTGTCGAAATTGTCTTTCTTCTACCTCTGTTAGGTTTTTTTGGGGAGTTCCTCAGTTCCTTCTATAAAAAAAAAAACAGCCTTTTTTTCTGTCAAGCCCATGTGTACGGGCAATATCAAAAGTTTCGCCTCTTAATTGGTTGGAAGTGTATTTGGAAAAAGAGAACAGGAGGCAGTTCTTGTCATAACCTGAGAAAGGCCGAATGGCCTCCTCTCGTTTCTCTCCTCTCAGCTCTTTTAATAGTTTGTAGAGATTTTTCCATGAAAGTTCTCGTTCTGCCTTTTCTTGAAAGGTGGTATCGCCTTCTACAATGTGGCTGCCTAGCGTGTTCCATGTCCCCACCAACGATTTTTCCATTGGGGTTCTCGTTTACAAGTGCAGGTTATACATTGTGATGTTCCTGGTACTCTCCCAAAACAATGGCACCAGCAGTCCTGGAGCGGGACACCACATGACAGAAAAAGAGGAGGCTTGATGTAAGAAAATTGGGCAGGCACTAATGTAGGGGCAATATGTGTTGATTTAGGTAGGGGTGTGTTGAGATCAGCGTATTACAAAGGAGGTCAATCCGGAAAGTAGAATCGAAGAGCCTCCATCTGTTCCTTTGTGATTTGCTTGAAATTGTCAGAAATAAGTTATGGATAACACAGGGGTGGGTTGCCATCCCTGGTCTTGTACAGCCACAATTGAGCAGGTTTTGTAGCTTGATTTTTCATTTTCTGAACAATTTAGTTTTGACCAACTCAGCAGGCAGTTATTTCACATTTAGTGGATTAGAGATAATTTGAAATTAAAATATCGTCATTCTGCAGCTTTAAGAGTGGAAAACTGGCCTCTCCCACTTTAATTGAACCGTTCGGTTTGGCCCATATGTCCCTAGTCTCTACGCATCGATGAATCAGAATCATCGGTGGGTGGCAGGGTGGCGCAGTGCTGGGGCCCTCAGTTCCCTGGGGTGGAGATTGCATGTTCTCCCCGGCTTCGTGTGGGTTTCCTCTGGGTGCTTCAATTTCCTCCCTGCAGTCCGAAGACATACCAGTAGAAAAAATTTGGCTTTTGGGAAAATTGACCCCGGTGTGTGTGTGTGTGTGTGTACGAGCTGCGATGGGCTGGCGTCCCGTCCAGGGTGCACCCTGGCCTGCGCCTGTTGCTTGCTGGGATATTCTCCAGCTCCCCTGTGACCCTGTACTGGATAAAGCACTTAGGAAAAGGTCGGATGTGTAGGTGGATCGCCTGGTAAGGCCTGCTGGAAGGTGGCTTTCGAGGTCTGGGTTTGGGTTTTTCGAGAGACAGCCAAGGCGGAAAAGCCAAAAATGTCTCTTAGGCAGCGCTAAAGCAGGCAAGGATGTGTTCACTAAACTTAATCAGTAGTGCCATTCTTATGTAAGCTTTTGGCCAGGCTTTTCAGTTAAGGTTTTGGCATGAAGGGCTTTTCTAGAGCTGTTAATTGTGCAATCTATACGGTAAGTTGGCAATTGGGTCTTTATCCTACAAGTCTTGTTGTACAATCTTCCCTTTTTCAGTGTTGCCTTGTGTAAATGCATCATCTTAGATAGATAGATAAGACTTTATTGATCCCGTAGGGAAATTGATGTGTTACAGCAGTCCAGCCCAAAACAAGCAAAAACAGACATCAGAATAGACGAAAAGTTGTATTAAATAAATAAAAATATTTTTTTTTTATCTTAGCACTTAGTAACACAAACTCCAATGTTTAGACACCTGGACTGTCCAAAGCTATCCAGAAAAAACGTGTGATTGTCTTGTGTGCTTGCAGACTCACAGCGGCTCAGTGTGGAGAGTGACCTGGGCCCACCCAGAGTTCGGCCAGGTCCTGGCCTCTTGTTCTTTTGACAGGACGGCCGCGGTGTGGGAGGAGATCGTCGGGGAGTCCAACGACAAGCAGCGCGGCCAGAGCCACTGGGTGAGTCGCAGCACGCACCCGGCCGGAAGGAAAATCCCAAATCCTGGATTTTCTGTTGAAAATGGCAGCTGCATGCCAAGAGGCGGAGCGATGGATCTGTGCCTGTGACTGGAAGGTTGCCGGTTCAAATCCCACAGCCGGCAGAGGAATCCTACTCCGTTGAGCCCCTGAGCAAGGCCCTTAACCCCAGCTGCTCCAGGGGTGCTGTACAATCGCTGACCCTGCGCTCTGACCCCAAGCTTCTCTCCCTGTCTGTGTGTCTGTGTCTCATGGAGAAAAGCTGGGGTATGCGAAAAGATGAATTTCTAATGCAAGAAATTGTATAGGGCTAATAAAGCAACATTATTAGCATTATAATGATGGTGTACTGTAGTGATGAGTGGTAAAGGCCGGGGGAAAATTTGGCCTGGACACCAGGGTAACATCCCTAATCATTTCGAGGAACGCGGTGAGATATTTTTAATAACCACGGAGAGTCAGGACCTTGGGATTTTTGTCTCAGCTAAAGGACGATGCCTTTTTTACAGTATACTGTCCCATTCACTATACTGGAGGATAAGAACCCACACAGATCCGGGGCTGTAGATCACATCTTGCTGAGGTTCATGAATTTTTTTGTATAGAACTGCTGGACACCCTGCACTGGGAAAGACGTTTGGAGCGTATTTTAGTGAGTTGGTGTCTGGGCTGAACTTGGGAGGTGCTGTTTGAAGGAGAATCAGTTTAAAATAACCCAGCAGCCATATCACACTGCAGCTCACAGCTGGCAGCCCACTGAAGCTCAGCAGGTGTGAGCCTGGTCAGTACCTGGATGGGAGACCTCCTGGGAAACGCTAAGGTTGCTGCTGGAAGAGGTGTTAGTGGGGCCAGCAGGGGGCGCTCACCCCCTAAAAAAGGCGACGTCCTTCAGATGAAACGCAAAACTGAGGTCCTGACTCTCTGTGGCCATTAAAAATCCCAGGGCATTCCTCGAAAAGAGTAGGGATGTTACCTTGGCGTCCTGGCCAAATTTCCCATTGGCCCTTACCAGTCATGGCCTCCTAATAACCCCCATCTCTGAACTGGCTTCATCACTCTGTTCTCCTCCCCACTAATAGCTGATGTAGCACTAATAGCATTCTGGTGCACTATCATCCAGGTGGATGCTCTACACTGGTGGTGGTGGAGGGGAGTCCCCATTACCTGTAAAGC